AATGCATTTATAACAACCCACCCAGTCATAACTCCTTCAATACTAAATTGATCTGATTGCAATTTGGAATACAAGTATTTGCTGTAAATGCGCTACTTCAGGACCGAATCGACACTTCAGCGGACTCGCCTGCGAACTGGCCAGTGGACTGGATTACAAAACCTAACTTCAACTTCAACTCAACCAGCCATAAATCCATCAATAATGAACGGATTTTATTCAAATTTGAAATATAAGTAGATAATATCATTAATTTGTGGACGGAATTTTTTCAGATTTTTACATCAATAACTTTCTCTAGTAATATGGAAACCCTAACTTCATTTTCAACTCAACCAGCCATAAATCCATCAATGATGAACGTATTTTATTCAAACTTGAGATACAGGTTGATAATATCAATAATTTGTGGACGGAATTTTTTTCCAGATTTTGACATCAGAAACTTTCTTATTAATACGAAAAACCTAACTACATTTTTAACTCAACCAGCCCTAAATCCATCAATAATGAACGGATTTTATTCAAATTTAACTTATAACTAGATAATATCAGTAATTTGTGGACGGAATTTTTTCAAACTTCTACATTAATTACTTTTTTATTAATACGGAAAAACCTAACTTCACGTTCACCTCGCAGGTTAGGTCCTATTCAGGTCAAGTTTCAGTATTTTGTGGCATTAGAAAAAAGTAATTTATGTAAAAATCTGAAATAATTCTGCCCACAAATTACTGATATTATCTACCTGTATTTCAAATTTGAATAAAATCCGTTCATTATTGATGGATTTATGGCTGGTTGAGTTGAAAATGAAGTTAGGTTTTCCATATTGCTGAAAAAGTTATTAATGTAAAAATCTGAAAAAATGTCGTCCACAAATTACTGATATTATCTACTTATATTTCAAATTTGAATAAAATCCGGTCATTATTGATGGATTTATGGCTGGTTGAGTTGACCGTCAAGTTAGGTTTTGATTTGAGTCCGCAGGCCAGTTCGCAGCCGAGTCCGCTGAAGTGTCCGACCGGTATGGAACTGGCTGCCTACTGCATCATTTGTCTACTTTGACCAGTCTCCAATGCATTCGTAGAGTGAGTGTTTTCACGGGAAGCCTGCCGAAGACCACCACTGCCCTGGATATAATGGACTATCATGACTCCTGCCCTCCGGAACGTAGCCTTCAACACTTCTGGAATATCATATTGGCAGCCGAAAGCCACCAGACAGAACGAATCAATTGAATTAGTCTGGTTCGACGCACTGCCTAGATACGGACGGCTTGGTGGCGGATATTACATTCGCTGCAAGGCTCCGGCGCGCTACGTCCGAGTGGTGTACAATTTTTTCGCGGTACGGCGGACAACGCTAGGCCATTCGATCGCCGGCTGTTTCTCCTGTGGGCTGATTGGTCTAATTCAATTGATTCGTTCTGTCTGGTGGCTTTCGGCTGCCTATATGATTTTCCAGAAGTGTTGAAGGCTACGTTCCGGAGGGCAGGAGTCATGATAGTCCATTACATCCAGGGCAGTGGTGGTCTTCGGCAGGCTTCCCGCCACACTGACACTGTGATAAAAAAGGAAAAAGTGTCAATATTATCAAACACAGGAAAAGAAAAGTGTCACAATGTTCCAAACAAAGGGAAAAAATATAACGAATAGTTTCATTAAATTTTGAAGTTATTAGATTGTTTTTTAACAATAGAATTTCTGGTATTTTGAGCTAGGCAATCTGGTATTCTCGCCAAGAAAAAAACCTGGCAACACTGCTTGTGTGAATACGACTCTGTACGAGTGTCGACTGTCGAGACAGTCGAGTAGTGTCATAACTGTCATTCGATGCTGAGTCGCCAGGGCGTGAGGAGTGAGGTGTGTAGTTTCCAAAGCGCAAACTGAATGTTTTTGGAGTTACATTCAGAATGACTATACTATACTGGTATCAATTGTCATGGATACAGTTTAGTTGAAAAGCTAATAATACTATCATCCGACTCATCTGAACATTGTTAAACTTCAAATGTGAAAAATCGTATGATGAATAATTTAATTAAGGGTCACACATAATAGCTGAAGTGGCGAACGATCGATCAATGTAATGCCGCGGCTGAACGAATTCCGCGAATTTGACATGAAGTAAAGCAACGCCTTCATCTTTTAAGTGTGACCCATTATTTAATTAGAAAATCTCATTACATTAAGATGAACAATGAAATTGAAGTTATTAGTGAACCTGATAGCTAACATCCCAAACATAATCTAGATTTATTATGAAGTATCAACTATCAGTATCAAGCATAAGTTGTATAACTGATCCAAATAAGTTAAATAACCATTGCTGAATATTACAAAAATTATCCTTCAGGCTTCAACTCTCAACAGCCCTACGGCCTATGTAGCGTAGCTGCCAAGGGGCAAGGGCAAGGAGTAAGGTAAGGACATGCAACTATGCAAGTCACATTGTCAATAATGCAGTAATGTATGGACATGGTAAATTGGTAATGGTAATATCAAATAAAAGGAAAAACATGTAAAAATAACAGAAAATGACCTTTAATTTTACATCTACAACATCTACCTAGCTACTACAAAGCCATGGTCAGGAAGATGTGCCAGGTGCGTGGGAATTTATTTTGTCATTTTAACTACCTGCGCGGTGCGCCGTACTATGCTGGTAAAAAATGCGCCGTACGCCGTACTTTAGAAAGCTAAAATAGTTCTACTATTTTAGTTGACAATATACACGAGTATATTAACTCGCGAGTCAAACTGACAATAATAAAATGTAAGACATGTCTGGGTTACTTCTGACTCTTCCGCTTGTCCGCCTTGTCGGATACGGAACGTACGGTAATCGTAAACACGGTAAACTGCGGCTATTATACATACGAAATGTAAACAGATGGTGTTCACTGTTGCCATATGACTTTGGAGAAAATTTCTTCTAAAATAAAGTTCTAGATTTCTCATTCACCAAATTTCCGTATCAAGAAAAATCATATATTATTGAAAGATAATTAAAGGCAAATTAAGGCATACTGTACTGAGTAATGTGAGTATTACGTCCGTTCCTCCACAAACTGCTTGTGCGCGGCAAGCGCGACGTAGAATTGATGGCCGGGATTGCGCGAACACGTGCGTGAAGAGAATCAATTTTCATTACATTGCGCCAACTGTGCACAGCAATAGCTTAAAAAAAGTGAAAATGCGCGGGAAAATTCACCGAAAACATACATCATCCTGAGTGTGGCTACAAAGGAAGAGGGTGACTTCAGAAGTGAGAAGTTCAGACTTCAGAGTACTGTTGTGTTGTTGTCTGGCGTCTGTTACTGTTAGAGTGTTAGGAATGAGGCTAAATGAGTGCCAGGATTGGAATTTTCTTCTTGTTTCTGAAATCTTGCAGTTCAGTCTCCAACCTGATGAATTTTTAATACAATTGGAATCTCGCGGCCCAATCGTGCACTTTTGTTAACAATTAGATAGGAAGCAATTCATCCGGCAGAAATCTCAAGGTTCTGGAAATGGTAGGAAAGCTCTTGTCGTGGCGCTATCCCTAAAGGTAGATGTTTTCCATGCTTGGAGTTGGATGAGCCTAATGAATGAGTAGTGAGCACACTCTGCATGCTTGAGACGTTTTAAAATGAAATTTTATTTCAAGTGTCCCAGATTACCCCGTTTCCACCTTCCCAGTCTCTCAGGGGTATTTAGGGATGTTTTTTTTTGTCTGGAACCTTACGATTACAAATAGCCTAGGGATTTTTTTTGGAGATGCCATACAAATGATACAAATATAATAGCCCTTTCAAATAAATGTTTCATGCCCAAAGGCCAAATTTGCTTATGAAATGTTTTATGGTAATAAGTTATTAACAAAAACACTTAAAACTGTCCCTTATAACCCTGTTGGCCTGTTAAATGGTGGTACTGGTTTGATTTTTGATTTGTATAGTTTAATTACCATGTAATAGGCTAATAAAGACATTTCAGTCCTACAAGAAAGTTCTGGTCAAGTTTTCTTTGTAAAATATATTGTTTCTCTCAAATGCCTGCAACTTGAATGCAATTAACATTTTCTAAATGCTCTGAAAAATCTTTGATTGTAGCCCCAAATGTTTATTGTAGGTATTTGCTCATGAGACTAGAGACTAGTCTAGCCAAAATTAAATTTTTGATGCCAGGAGTCATAAATTTTTAGGAATGAAAAAAGTATACTCTATAAAGTCAGTTTTGAGCTGTGAACCTATTTTACAAGCCGTGAAAACCAATTTTGGAAACCCAAACTCAGTTGAGAATTGTTAGATTCAATTCAAATCTTTTATTATACTCTAAAAATTTAAAGAAAAATATTTTTCATCACTGTCAATAAACATGTGATAATTTTTTTGTCATAATTACACAGTTGCTTTTCTATCTCCCAAGCAAAATTATGCCAAATAAAAAAAAATATTATAAAAATAAAAATTATGTCAAAAGTCATACCTATATTCAATTAAGAAGATTAATTAATTAAATTAAATTTGTTACTATGTGCAAATTAAATTAATGCAAAAATTGAAACTATTAAAAATGTATCAAATGTAATCCTACCATTATTAATTTCTTCGCACATTTGTGAATTTTATTTCATGACATAGGGTACTGGTAATGTTCGAGGCCACTGCTGGTGTATAAATTATTGTCTATGGTGTTTTCTGATTTTAGCAGGATATATTTTAGTAAATATCATCCAACTGCATTTTTTTAAGCTTGGTATTAGGTAAAGTAATGTTTGTGCATTTCATTGTTTGGTTTTAAGTTTTTTCCCTGCAACTCCTTGCTGAGCAAGTTTATTGACAGTTCTGGGCCAAATCTAAGAATGAGCGACTGATAAACTTTGGGCATTCCAGGTGGATTTTGGACCAGTCTTGTGAGATCCTGTGCCTCTCTTGTGCTGTGGATCCTGTGTTATCTGGGACTGAGGGCCAGTCAGGCTTTGGTCAAACCACCAGCTAAGCTAGGGCCTAATCTCAGATCCATCCTGTCCAGACTGAGTCTACAGACAGACAACAATCAGGACTCCTCTCATACTTCGGTGAGGCTCTCCCACTGCTCACAGCCAGTCAGCATAATGCCTATCATAATGGACTCGTGTGCCACACAGCAAAGCCCTGACTCGAAACCATTATTCAAGGCCTTGGCTCTCTTATATTCCTTTGTCCATGTTTACTTTGCTTGCCAGCAGTCAGGCCCAGTCTAGTTAATTTGCTAGTTATCCTTTTCTATTTTATTGTATTGAATAAAGTTTGGGTTATTGCTTCTATTAGTTCTTATTCTAGGTTCACCCCATCACCACATAAGCCCTGGGCCGTCACTTCACTGACTGACTGGCTTCCACTGTTTATCTTCATGTAACCCTTATTTTATTTATTATATTTGACTTGGTTACTCTGTTTTGTTCTCCTGAATGTTATTTATATTTTGTTTTGCAAGCTGGCATTTTACTGGCCTTTAGATGAAACTGACCCCCATCAATATGAAAAAGGACAAAAAATGAAAATGGACCATAAAATAAATTATGATAGGAATGGATGGCAAAAATCATGTTATGGGCATTAGTATGCAAGAGATGTTATTTTTTTTTATTCATGTCATTGTGATATATCCTGCATAACCATGGAGCATGTTAAAGGTCATAGTACCATGTACTACTCCATATTTAGGGTAACAGTGAACTATATGAATAATGACTATTGCTAGGCCAAACAGATCATTTGCCTTCCAGCCTCAAAAATACATATAGCACTGATAGCAAATTGCTTTATTGACTTATAGCATTATGAAAATCGTTATCAATATTAAATCTTCAAATTTGATAATGAATAGTTTGTAGTTCAGTAACAATTATTTTTATGCCACTTATTTATTAACACGTTGACTACAATTGCTTCATCTTGTCCTATTATTTCATTTTTACAACACTTCTCTTTAACTTCACTTCTTGTTTGTCTGTTTGTCTGTCTCTGTCTGTCTGCTACAAATCTTGTAATCAAAATTAAACACACTTCTACTTATCCTATCGATCTGAAATTTTGCACACTTGTTTAAAGTTGGAGACAATGCATGAATCAAATGTCAAAATAAAGGATTTTAAAAAGTAAAAAAAAATTTTTTTCAATATTAAAAAAATTGAGAAAATAATTTTGTCAGCTACAAATCTTATAACTAATATTTGACACACTTTTACCTGTCTAATTGATCTGAAATTTTGCGCACTTGTGTGAAGTCAGAGGCAATGCATGAATCAATTAACAGAATAAATAATTTTGGAAAAAAATTATACCTATATATTAGAAAAAATTTATATATTAAAAAAATTAAAAAATTAATTTTTTTAATATTCGAAAATATGATGAGAAATTCATGGTACATCTTTAAGATTGGAGACACTGGATTCTTTGGAAGTGTTGTCTTTAAAAAGTAATTTTTAAACGTATATTATTTTAGTACCGTTTTGAAACAGTTTTGCCAGACGGTCATTTTTTCCGGACAAATTCGGTGATTTAGTTTTTCTCAATTGCGTTGGCCAGCTAAAATTCATGATAGGAGTACTTCCTAATTAAATTTTAAATACTGCAAAAAAGTAAATAAATGGAATTTTTATAGCAGAAGCTGCAAATAAACTAGTATATATTGAGTTATCAGCCTTATTTTTGGCCTTTTTTGTTTTGGGATTTGGCCGATTTTTGGCAACCTTAATTATGTATCACCACGTCCTAGAGAAATACATTTCATGGTACACATATGTACCACTTCGTAGTCAATGTGTTAATAAATTTTTCATTGGCTAGTTCTGACTTGCTACACAAAATTAAAATAATTAACATAAAAAATATAATTTAAATATATGTTGAAGTTACAATGTGAAGATAATTCACTTTATTTGAAGATAAATTAATTCAATTTAATCTTTTTGATATTATGGCTACCATAACCAAAAAGTGCTGTTTGTGTACAAAACTTTTTATACTTTGTCTAAAGTCAATATTGATTTCTTTTTTATGAACCATCCAAGCTGTCAAGATTTCGAAAATGAATATACTGACAACTTCTAAACTTTTTACTACTCTGCCTCCAATGTCTGAGACAAAAATTGAGGAAATGGAAGCTTCAAATTTTTCAACAGCACACATGTGCCCTGAGGATTTATACATAGATGTGACTATATATATATATATATATATACTATATTATATTAGTATAGGTTGGCAGAATTTCTTCTTTCAAGCAGGTTTCATTGAAGACCAGAGAATTTGTTTTATTCGCAATTTTCTAAAAATTTTTAGATTTTTTTAGGGATTGCAATTGGATTCGTGTAATTTGTCTTTATGGTTTTGATTCAGCTTTGATACGGCCTCGCTCTGACGTGCTTTGTACTTCCTCAATGTATCGCAATTCCACCGCAGAGGTGCGTGTTAATATAAGATCTGTTCATTTTTGTGATAATCATGTTTTGATTTAGTGGTGGTTGGTACAGGTGGATATGAATATTATAACGTATATTAATTGTTTGTTGATTGTTTTGTTTGCGTTATGTTTTTATTCTTAGGGATAAATTATTACAAGTTCATAATTCAAGTTTGTCTATTTATTTTCCCTCAGGCTATATGTATATGTATTTAATTTTTATGTAGGGCCCAATTTTCGGAGTGATTTTCGGTGCTTTGATTCTAAATTATTTTGTGATTTTGTAATTATTCCTAACAATTTTGATTTTTGAGTAGTATCCTATTTACTTGACTTTGTACTTATGTCGACGCTAATTTCATCACTCAATGCGCCTTTTAACTTGATAATGAATGATAGAAACATTCGAAACGTCGTTAACGAAATAAATATGTCCATCGGTAACCTGATTTTTGATTTGCCAGTTCAAACTAAAAATATTGTTCGATATATTGAAAAAACTAATAAGAAAATTGCGAATAAAACAAATTCTCTGGTCTTCAATGAAACCTACTATATTATATGTAGATATGACTAGCTGGGGCACCTGGTACTGCTCCATTTATAATTAATTAGTTTATCATTTCATCTAGCTAATTAAATATTTGATGAACTATTGCATTAAAAGAATTTATAGTAAATAAGTGTTACAGAACTCTGAACTATGAATTTTCCTAATATGAAGACTAATTATTATTAAGATTTTCATCACTGAATGAAATGTTAGAGATTTGATTGGAATTAAACGTGGACATGGAATAATGTACCTACTACCGGTAACTGTTATTGTTGTGGCATTTCAGTTGTGGTTTGGCTGCTGCACTGCCCAGTGCCCACCCATCATCACTGGTGAGCCATGCTTGCTTCCCATATCCTTTTATTCTAACAATATATTCTATCATATCTTTGTATTCTGAACAATATATTTATTTGATTTCAAAATTTGAATTGATATCATTCATTAAAATAATGCTGACTGTCAATAACAAATAAATGATGAAAATGTGCATCTTTTTAATTTCTGCCTTTTTCTATTTATGAAGTTTTCCTGTGAAAGCTTTCATATGTGCATGTTTTTTGTACATATCTTACTGGATTTCTTTAAGGTTTGTTCATTGTTCAACCTGATACAAAATTTATTGGCATGTTTGAAATGTTTCTTGATTCTGCATAATGACTGCACTCTGCACCTATTACCTTAAATTTGTTAAAAATTAAATTTAAATTAAAAATAAATTAAAATAACCAAAATTTATTAGAAATGTGTCATTTTTGTTCTCAATACCTATAACTACAGCGCAATAGTAATTTAAGGTAAATACATCAGTGACAAATAGATTATCAATTGCTAGCACTAAGTCCTTCTTTTTCATTACCTAATGTGTAGTAATTCTGTGTGAAATTCAAGTGGAATCATAATCATAGAGACAAGCTTTCATAAAGTAAAGATCTCATTCTGCTTTGGCTGGTTTTTCTGTGTTAAAGATTTTAGATCTAAAAAATTAATTTCTGTCGTAATTGTGCAGAAACTGGATTAATTTTTTATGTCTCCTGCTGAATGCATTTGCACCCAAGTTCTCAAGTTCCACTTACTCAAGTAGCACAGAACTTTTGCTATATTGCTTTGTCATGCTAGTGTTGGTTTTGAGTCATGCACTTGCATGCAATTACTATAATAAATTGAAATTGTATATAACAACATTGTCAAACCGGCACCTTCTATAGTCACCTTCTTCTTTATTTACCTTCTGGCTTGCTTTGACTGCTATGATTATCAAAGATGGCAATTATCCTGGATCCCATCACTTGTTTGTGTGGTAATAATGGAATTAAATCACCGAGTCATTCTAAAATTAAAGAAAGTTTAATCTAATAGCTTATGTTCACTACTGTGTTTGACATTGGTATTACACATAACAATCCTTAACATAAATCTTTTTTATGTTATCGCTTGTACTGGCAGTATTTATAGCTTCTAATACATTGAGGACAATATTTTTATTGCTTAAATTATCCAAATTCATCTATCATTTTCAGTTCATTGGAACAAAAAAATGGAGGCAACTCAGACGCTTGTTTAAAAGAGAATTTAATCCAGCTAAACTCTTACTAACCATTCACTAAGTTTATCATTGCTCAGCTCATGTGCATATTTATGAAAGTGCATTGGTGGGCAAGGTTTGAACTAAGATATTTGTGCCTATTTTTTAATACAAACTTTTATTGATTTATTTTGGGCAATGCTTGCGGTGACAACACAGGAGACATCAGCACACCTGCTGCTGGGGTTAATGGCTGCCATGAGGCTTTTGCTAACATTTGCCCTTGGAATGATCAGCGGTGTTCTCTCATTCTATTTGTTCAGCTTCTCCCTCTCTTATCCACCTGCCAGCATCGACTCTTCATTGTATGAAGGTCTGAGGTAATTCCTTCATAACTATCCTAAAGAAAAATATCTTAAAATGATTCTAAACGATTTGAGGTTTTAACCGTTTGTGCATAAACCAGTGATGTGTCTAAATAATAATGCTTGTCTGATGCCCTTTTTTCCTATTTCTATGAGCATGAATATTTTGTGAGAAGTGTTTGGTAATGGGGATGTAGTAAATCAATGGTAATTAGTGAATACTTGGTAAAGCTTAAATTTAAACAATTCCGAAATAAACTGGTCAGTCTTTTGAGGTTATGTGTCAGGCATTTTTAGTCATGCTCAAATGTGAGCCTTGACAATAATGTTTTAACCTATGTAAAGTGTCATGATATATATTGCTTTTCAGAAACCAAATTTTCATTTATCCGTGGATTAATTAAGGTTAGACTGCAGCATCTTGTGTTCCAGCATGTGTAAGAAAGTAAATGGACCTTCACTGTTGAGGTTCTGTTTCTGGTGATCAGATTATTTGGGAACTTCTGACACCCATTGAATCTTGTATAATATGTAGTCTTGAATGATAAACAACTTTTTTGTTTAAGAATTAATGTCACTTGTTTGCTTAAACTGCAAGTTTACAAAAAATTTAAAATGAAAGAAAATTTCATAAAAATTTATATTTTTATAGAAAACATTTTTGGAGTACAGCTATGACAATGGAACTGGAGTCCGAAACATTTTCTATAAAGATATGAATTTATGTGCAATTTTCTTTGCTTTTAAATTTTTAGTTTTTTTTTATTGAATATTAGAGTTTTCTGTAAGCTTTTGTGTCTGCATGGTCACATGAGTTTTTATGATCATTCACTATTTTTAAGAATTTCTCCTTACTTACCACCTTACTTGTTATGCATGTTTAAACATCTTATCATGCATCTTGTTGAATTCTTTAACATTCACTTTAAGAACTTGATAAATTTAGAAAACATCTGTTCGATCTTCTGTAAGGAATAATTTATACATCAATGTGTCAAATGGCCTTTTATGTCTGAAACTTTCTTATTTGCATAAGACAATCTCCTGTAACACTAAATTTTGTAACCTATTAAAAGAATTATTCAAAGTACCTTCAGTAAATTCTACTACATTGGGCAATGAGCGTTGTTTGTGTAACATTTAATTGATTGCAATGTTTATTGCTTTGCAGCAAGTATGTTGATGCTCAGAGAAACGACATCTTGGAGGGAGCAAGGAGGCCTGGTCCCTCATTGGGAGGACACGGTGACCATAGCGCAGGTGATCTTGTGATGCTTCATTAGGAAGTGCTGATGAATATTGAACTAATATTGTTTTGAGTCATGCACTTCTCTGCTTGATTATATTATGAAGTGTGATGCATTTTTGCTGCAATCTGATCTATCCTGAGAATTGTGCCAATGAAGCTTTAACAAAAGATTAATTCAGCATCATAACATAAACAGAGATATGTTCCTCCATTAACAATGGTATTAAGGCCTGTGAGTATTTTTTTAAAAATTATGTTATAATTATTATATAATTGCCATGCATGCTGTAAACCTGAATTGTCTTTGTCGTCTAAAAGCCCAGATTTTAATATTTGATCTATTTATTCCCATGCAGAATATGTTAGTTACTAGTGTTTTTTCCTGTAATATTGTCATTAATTATCCTTTACTCAACTATCAATACTGGCCTTTCATACTATTGGTATCAAAGGTATACTTTTATATCGGTATTGCTATCACTTTTATATTGATACTATACCTAAGCATTATTCCTGCCTGGTGCCATTGCTAGTATTATTATTCCCTTGCTTATTTCTCTGTACTTTATTTTGAAACTTGTCATGTATTTCATCAGGTACTCTTTTTCCCCAGTTAGCATTGCTGCTCATGTTTATCCAGCCCTCACTCTCCTCTTCACACAGTGCTTGTTGCTGTTACATTATGATCTTTGGTTATGGAAGTGGCTTTGACTAACTCTTTCCTAAAGTTGTCTTCATTACTGTTCTCTGGTTATTATATGCACAATTATTATATACATATTAACCGAGGCACGTTATTGCAGAAGCAGCAGGCGTGGCATCAGAGGTACGGCTGCTGTGCGTCATCATGACGCATCCTGACAACCATGAGGTCAAGGCCAGGCATGTGCACGCCACGTGGGCCAGGCGTTGCCACACCGCCATATTCATGAGCTCTAAAGCAGGTCTAAACTCACTATAACATCACTTTTCTTCTAAGACTTTCTAAATTATTGTAGACTAACATCTTGTTTGCTGTTGTGATGACATGATAATATCATTAGCAAGAAATAAGTTTTCTGTAGAAAGCTTCTATTTTAGTTCTATTGTTTGAAACATTTTTTTAGTTTGGTTTTCTCACATGTGAAATCAGGTCTTTTTTAAGCTAGACATTTTCTTTAAGATATTTGTATGAAATGTGTCTGTGAACCATTCAAGTGGTACATGCAAATAAAACAAGCTTGATGCCTTACAAATAATTAATTCACTCCTTTTAAATTCTTCCGACTTCCTCATTCTTATCCATGCAGAAACGTTCTAATGATGTTCTTGTTTGCACTTGAGTAGTGAACTATTAGTTTTCCAGAAGAAGCGGAATATATGCTTGTGCATTGTTGATGTAATACATTTCACCCAAAGATACATAATTAAATTTAGAAGCATTGTTGAAAGTGAAGAAGTTCCTCAAAATAATCATGGTTTTTCATTATAGTTTCTGGCTCAAGTTACTGACTTGAGTCAGAAACCATAATGAAAATATAGATTTTTTTCATCTGTATATTCTTGATTGTAAGTTAAGTTATTTTTATTGTAGATAATATTTTGTCTCGCAGAATTAATGATGTTGGATTCACTTGAGCAGATGCCAGCATTGATGCTGTGAATGTGGTCTGGCATGAAGGCCGTCAGCAGCTCTGGCAGAAGACCAAGAACTCGTTCAAGTATGTCTACGAGCATCACCTCGACCAGGCTGACTGGTTCCTCAAAGCCGATGATGACACGTTAGTTCCCGATTATTCTAACTGATCGTTCTGGACAAATTCTCGTAGATTTACGCCTGAATTTCATTTGAATTTCATTTGATTTTTTATTATTTAGAATATTATGTTACCATTCAAAAAAATTTCAATTGATAACCCTTGAGCCATTTTATGTGTGTAAGTAATCTTTTATGGTATACGAATGATCTTTTATACTAAAAAAAATATGTGTGAAGAAGCTCGGGTGTGTTAGTTATATTATTTATTAAACGATCTGAAATGCTAGTAAATATGTGAGAAGAAAGAAATTTTAGACCTACAGTTATGTTTAATGATGGTATTTATTTTGAAGCACCATTTTCACTTCACTAATTTTACTGCATTCTATCGTTACTGATGTTGCTTGGTTGCAGATATGTTGTAGTGGAGAACCTGAGGTATTTGCTGGGTGCCTACAACAGCTCAGTGCCTCTGTGGTTCGGGCGGAGGTTCCGCGAGCTGGTCACCAACGGCTACATGAGTGGAGGTTGGCTGCTGGTTGTGGTGTCGCTCATTGTAATTGGCCAGTAATAATTAATAAACACACGCATTTTATTGAAAATAATGCTCAATTTCTTAGTGGTTAGTGCCTATTGGACATTAATTTGCCAATAAAAATGGTCTTTCTTCATTATTTCAGCACGATTCTCTATTTAGACCATAAATAATTGCATTTCATCTTTAGAAACATGTTAACAGCTTTCATCAAGTCAACATGCTCGGAGAAAATGACTTCTCATTGAATAAATATTATTCTTCCTACTATAATACTATTATTTAAAGTTAACACATATTACAAGTGGCAATGCGTGACGGGAACATCAAACTGAAATGATCAATTTTGTGATCATTTTGCCAAGTCCCACTTTGGAAAACTAATTGATATTAACGAATGTGATAACCGTTTGCACTGGCAATGTCGCCCACGCAAAGGAGGTTAGAATTTCCTCACACTCACTCCTACGATTCGATGGATGCGCTTTCTCGCTTGAATTGGAGGATAAAGAAGCCTCAGGTCAGATCTCTGCATTGGTCGGCCATGCAACTCATAGTTGTATTGGTACCAGCTGCCTTCCTGTACCGAGTCATGTCTCGCACAGGAGCTGGCTACGTGCTGAGCAAGGAAGCTGTCAGGAGACTCGTCGAAGAAGGCTTGCCCAACCCCAGGAAGTGCCGCGCTGATGCCGCCGGGGACGAGGACGTGGAAATGGGTGCATCTTGCTTAGTTTTGTCTCTTCTTGAAACTAGTGATATTTATGAACTCGCAACGTATCCTGATTGTTGACCAACTAATATTAACGACTCTCGATGCCTACAAACTTGATGAATTTTTTTTAAAACATCTTTTAGTATTATAATGACTTGAGCTTGGTTATTATGAGCTAAAATTTTGTCATGCAATACTGAATTATGTAACGACTCTATCAAAGACTTAGATTGTGCAATCTGTCTTTGTCTAGCTACACTTATCACGTTTGTTACCAACTCCGCTACAAGCCCCAAGTGAACACGTTTTTTTATCACTTGTTGACAGTACTCACCTGGTCAGTTTATTGCCCACTCAAAAACGGAATCTGTCTAAATCATATAAATTTAGTATGCGTTAGAATTGTCCACCAGTGGGAATTATTTCAAATTTTTGTAGTTGCCGTCACGGCACTTTGATCTCTCATCGCATTAGACGAGTGGATGTTGTCATCTGTGGACTCAGATATTTCAGACTTGAAGGAAAATTATTGTTCTTTTGTGTATTTATCGCTTGTAATGTTCAGGCAGATGTCTTCAGAACGTCGGCGTGATCGCTGGCGACTCTCGTGACCACATGGGCAGGGACAGGTTCTTTCCGTTCATCCCTGAGCATCACATCATCCCTGGTCATATCGGCCCGAAGAATTGGCTCTGGCAGTACAACTATTACCCAATGTCTATAGTGAGGCCCTTATATTAATCTCGGAACCTCTAATTTTTTTCATTTGCTGTCTTTCTGCAATTTTTCTATTGATGGCTATTGGCATTAACCCTCGCAATCACCTCATGTTAAGTGATCTTAGTCGCACTCTCCCGTAATTAAATATTTTTTTATTTCTCATATTTTGAATTCGCCGCCTCATAATCAGGGGCGATAAGTGGCGTTGTTTGCGCATCGTACCTGTTTTGTTTATCTCAGTGATAAGTTATATACTAATTGTGTTTAAACAAATGACTATGATTTTTAAAATTAAACTATGCAAAAGGTTTGACTGCTCGTAAATAAATTTTTCTTGTGTCCATTTCGATGTACATTAAATTCATTCTGTAATGTGCAGGGCCTGGGCTGTTGTTCTGACACCGCAATATCGTTCCACTACGTGAGTCCGGAGCTCATGTACCAACTTGAGTATCTCATTTACCACCTCAGACCGTACGGCCTGAGGTATCGGCACCCTACCTTCCCATTCCTGTCTACTGACACACAGCCAATACCTGAGGAGGTGACGACCGCTTAGTATTGACTTTCTTTATTGTACACTCTCCACTGTGGAAGATATTCTGGCGCGTGTCTTAGCTTCTTAGAAGACCGTTACTGCGTGCTTTGTCATGGGCATTATTCCTGATCCTCTGACGGCTGAGCTTGTTTGTAGTATTACAAGTCGTCCTTGTTCGTCCAATCATCTCTTCTCTCGTTTGGGTATAAGGTGTTTAAATTACAATTAAATCAAATTAAAGCATCAAAATTGATCACTGAAAACTTTTTATCTTAATCCCGATTTAATCTCTGGTCGGGCAACGGCTAATACCGGTATTACATTAGAAATATTACATTACATTATGAATATTTATGAATGTAATTAATTTTAGCTGCTGAGTAAAAAGTGATGTAAAAATCGCTTAATTTTCAGAAGAAATTGACTAATTAAAATTCATTTTTCAGGCGTTTAACAGGCGAGAAGCTACAATAAGCAAGAGTCAAAAGTTAGATAACGACAGCACACATGTTAGCGATGCTTCAGACGCCTTAACTGCTGCTCCTAACACTGGGTACTCACTTGAGCTTCACGTCCGAGCTTCGGCAGCGCCATAGCTTCGTTGCAACACATGCAATTACGAAATTATTATAGTTATCTATGTATAATTAATTATTATATATAAACCTGTTGGTCTTTTATCCTCTAAGAATTCGATTTCGTGTGTCACAAATTTTTGATCTTAAATTGTAAGAGTTCGTTAACGTCTGTGATAATCTTCCTATAATATGTCGCTAGTTATTGGGAATTTTCCTTGATTTAACTGTGCCATTTAACTTAATTTTCAGTAGGGTCATGCTTGTGTTTATTCAGCAACACTAATTGTGAACTGTTATTTCTAATGCGACTTTCGTCGCACGATATTGGGATGACTGTTGTAAATAATTGCGTCTAATATAATAATTTGCACGTTGAAGCCGTGACGATTATACTTCGTTACATTGACTTTAATCGTTCAATATCGACTGAATGATGGACAGCTACTAGATATGTTCAAACTGAGACTACTTCCCGTTCGAGTCCACATTGTCGGCATGATGCAACTTTTGCGTTATTGTACCTTGTGGATCTCTGTGAATGCTCTCTGAACTCAACACTGCTGCTCTCAGCCCAAGTGAAATGCTGTCTAGGATGCTGAGGGAAGTTCCCCGAAGCAACTTTAGAACTGACAACCCTAGACAATATCTAATCGAGTGTAACATGCTGCCGGATATCTAGCACGGCACCATGACATAGGTAAGAAAAGACCCACACCTTCCAAAAATTACAACATTCGTGTCAGCACATTACTGATTGAGATGAAACTTACGGAAGACGGATCGAACCTGCGCCTCAGAAATAGAAGCATACACCCAAGACCAGATGGATCAGGCTGCGAGCCTAAAACCTGCAAACCTGACCCTGCAAACCGACTACCGGTATTGCACCTTCGGCGCGAAATGGACGAAGCTGATCTAAAGCGCTCGAAATCTCTCCCCTTCTACTACTACTACTCTGAACTCCAAGTTCCTCGCTTTTGCTATTTTAGTTCCCATGTTCTCGTCCTAAAAGTGATATCTCAGATATTTTTCATTTTTTTGTGTGGGAAGTTAATTAGCTTTGGCGCTGCTATTTGTTCATATTCCTCAACTTAGCCACTCGGTTGTTTATGAATCACAAAAAAATAACCGTTGGAAATTTCTAATTACCTTACTAGAATTTTTTTCAATCTCAGAGTGCTTAGGATGTTAGTATACTCATCAAGTAGCAGCATGACCACGTTCGGTACGTAGCAAGAGCGTTCCATCAATTTATTGATTACTTGTTAAGATAGAGCTCGCTTGGTTCTAGTTCATATAACTATGTTTAGTCCGCATTTTTAATTTTCGTGTGTTTTCTCCGAATAAGGTATTGGTTCTTAATTTATTATATGATTCTTTGATTCAATGCGTTTAATACTGCATTTTCTCATGATTCCTATTTTAAACAACTAGTCAGCTATACTTACTTAAAAGTCTGTCGTTGCATTGTTTAACTGTGTTCACCTTGCAAACCCTTTAGGGTCTTTGGTTGTACTGAACTTGCTTTGGTTCCATTTAATTATGACTGTGTCCCCTGCATGTCTTACTAAGATTAACTGTCCTTTGCCTTTACCTCAGCCTACAGTGTTTGATAAAAATTAATCCTTTCAGTCACAGATTCTCAAGTAATTCATCGTTTACTATTTTAATAATCTGGCAATCTATTTTTACAGCTGGCACAGTAATGTTAACTTCATCTTAACCCGACCCTTTAGTAGTGATTTATATATTTTATTTCACTTATTGCAAATCTTAATTTTCAGTTATTGTGTAAAGATGTGCAGACCTTGTTCATTTGATATTGTTTCTAAATAAAATTTAAAACCTTAAGCTTTCAACCTTAAATTTAGAGAAGAATTAGGGCTTCCACAATATTCATTCATTCTCGTTGTCGTGGCCCCTTCCATATGCTAGAAAAGGGAATAAATTGTTACTCGCCGTGCGCTGAGGCTCACAAGATAACAGTGGTACCTGTGGATATTTTAACATTGATGATCCTCTTGCTGTGAGATGTTTAAATTCCACATTGATTCTCGTTGTGGGTTTTCTTCTTATTTCCTCAATCATAGGTGTATTTAATTAGTATCAGGAAACTTATATTCTGTTTTGTTGGTCATTTATCGTAGAATCGTAGGAAGCCAAATATCTGACACTTGATTTATAGATGACGCAACCTGACGTTGCTCATTTTCATTTTTGTAAAACTCGCGCGGTAAAATGTGAATTTTTACGTGTAATTAATTTATTTTTAATATTTTTTTTTGCTTCTCATGAAAATGCTTAACCCAGATTGAAATGCTCGTCAGGTTTTGTGCTAGTCAATAGTATTTTGCGAGCTCGTAATAGTGGAATGGATTAGTTTAATGCGTTATTGGTGTGTAGCTTGAATATGCCAGCTACTCCAACTAAGCTTGAGATTTAGTTTCAAATACTGATAAGGTTGAAAACTATGTACCCAAGAAATTACTCATTTTACTCGACTATACAGCAATTTTAGTGGATTATGGTATCGCCATTGGCTAGTATGGCGTAGAAATGAAAAAGTTTTAATTCTTTGTACTTTATTAAATTGGAAAATAGAGCAACCTTCGTAGCTCCTGCGAAAGGTTGCCCTCTTGAGGAATTAGTAGCTTCAAGATACGTTTTAAAGTTTTGATAGACGCTTCTATGAAGGCGTACTGTTGAAACTTGAACATGCGATTATTGATTTAATTTACACGTCAGAGACTTGAGATATGAATGCATTTGAATCGAAATATTGATAATTATTTGCTACAATCCTAATGCCTTAACAGTCTTATCCCATTTTTTTTTTAAATCTTCGAGGAATCTGCTATATCATATCGTAGTGATGTCGGCACTGAAGAATAAGCCTGATGTGCCTGGTGTGGCCGTTCGTCGATTCGGGTGCGCAGCCGTAGACCAGCAAATTAACGCTCAAATCAGCCCTGGAGCAAACATCAACCATCTAAATGCTATAGATATTGTCATCCTGGCACCTAAGCAGCTGTAGTCAATTGACCTATCTCACCACACGAACTTTAAACCAACACTGCTTCAGCACTGTACAAGCTGCTACTCCACACAGTTAACGGTCAATACGTTGTTCTCCAATGCTTTATAACCCATAGGTACCATCACTTCTTACACATGCTGTTATCCTAAGTGTCCGATGACCACACTGCATTGTCGCAAATGTGAACTGTACCAAACGGTAATGCGCCATCACCTTACTTAATCCGCAAGACGTTAACCCCGCGTCACTGTTTCCCTGCCTTACTATCCCCAGCATCTTGATCTTCTTTCCCCCACACTTACCCCGTCTTTCCAATATTAAAAGGCATTATCGCATGGCTAACTGGAGGCTTTTCTCGCAGACCTTTGATGCTTATCCGAATTAGGTTAGGTTAATTTACAACTCGTATAGATCCTCTTTTCATAGCGTGATGCAGTCAAGTGAGCAGAAACTAAGAAAAGCCGTCCGGCAGTCGGTGAAAAAAGGCGGGGAGACGGGGTACGCGTGGAGGTAGACTGGTAGAGTTATGCTGGGGGAAAACAGCTGCAACGAACGGACGGGCTGGAGTGCTGGCTGTGTATCAACAGCGGTGTGGCGTAGGGAATTGCTCACCGAAAATCGTGAGGAGGTTAGACGGCATGGGTTAGAGCTGTTGGACGGTTTTAAATACGGCGTAGACTAGCCTATGTATTTTATGCCTTTAAGAAGTTCATTTTTTGCCTCAAACAACAATGTTGGATAGAAAAAGTGGTCTTGGTGGATCGAAATAATATATGAACCTTCAAAATTAGAATTCCATCCTGGCGTAGAGGGATTGTATTGGTGGCTTACTTCTCATTAGCTTGCTGGTTAATTTCCATGAAGGAGATTTGTACCTTTGGCTTTTAACATATAATCCCTTAGTCTACTGTGCCCTTTAGCAGGCTTACGCACGGAAAAAGGATGAACGACATGCTGGTCTTGGGCAATGCTGGCCTCTGGCATGCATCCTGTTCTTACTTGGCTCATCTCTCTGCACCAGCTTGAAACAAGCAATGCCTCAGCCCACAAGCTGATACTCCAAATGGATTATGCCCAATAGCTCTTACACCAATGATTTAAGCCCATATCATCACTCCTTACACATGCCATAAGCCACAGGGTCCACAGACCGCACCAGACTGCCGTAAATAGAAATGGCCCCGCACCGGACTGTCGCATCACCTTACCCACTTCGCAGGCGTAAGCCCAGCCCTGACGTTCACCAGCATCTTCTTCCTAATCCTCCACACTTACCCCCTTAGTTCTATCCACGGAATCCACCTTTCCGCGACGGGTTAGGTTAGGTTAGAATTCTTCTGCAAGCTATTACCAAAAGGAGGGGGAGCAGGGGCCAGGGGGTAAGCGTGGAGGTTTAGCCTCCAGAAGAACGGACAGGCAGGGGAATAGCCTTTAGAAGAATGGACAGGCTGGAGAGGTAGCAGTGTACTGATAGCTCTGTGGCGCAGGGCGTTCTTTATCGAAAGTGGTTAAGGGGCTAGGCTGCATGGAATAGAAATATTTTGGGGTTTAGCGTGTGGGTTACGACCATTGTTTTGGACTTCGGTGGCTTGCAGCTCTTTGGCTTGCTGGTTTACATCCATGAAGGGATCTAGTCCATGTGGCTTTCAGCAAGTAATCATGTTAGCTAATTTGCTCTGCAGCATGCTTGCCCACGGGTGAAGTATGAAAATTATGCTGGTATTGGGCAATGCTGAGCTAATTCAGTCGTCCCGTGGCAAACAAGTTGTTAAGCGTAAATGTGTATAATAGTGTATTAGATAATATTGCATTTGAATCATTCTACTTCTTGATGGCATAAGTAGTGTTCTTGACGGACTTGAACGATAATAACTGTAATCAGTAATGTAGTCGCAGACTCGCAGTCTCGTAGAATCCTTCAGATGCTTAGGTATTCACCTTTCAAATTTTAAGTATTCTTGGTAAATGATTTGAGCGCTGGAAAATTTTAATGTACTTCACCTGCAGGTAATAATAATAATAGCGGTTTTAGATAGCATTTATTAGGCCGTAGGACTGTCGCCAATTCTTCTTAACATTGCAGAACATTCACGGCATTTTGCGGTCTCGAACCTTGCTGCTACAATTCTGTCGTGCTTAACCCAGTAAGTTAACTGCCCGGCCTCCTTGCCGATTCTGACCAGAAACTGGCACACAGAGATGGGATTGAACCCCCGCCTCTCAGCGCCAATCCTGGTAGAACTTTAACTACTGGGTCACCCTGCCGATATGCATGAGTGTAGATATGTAGATAAAAATTCAAATATGAAAAAAATAACGAAGCAACATGGAGGCAAAAATAAGGTGGTTTGATCCAAGCCATTTCCTTTACACTCAGAGGCAACAAGTGTGCGTTGTCAGATAAAATTTGCCTTTCCGGCCAAATTTGCGCCTGTCTCACCGGAGTTCGCGCCTATTGGATTGAAATGTAAGGGAATGCTTAGCTTATTTTTAGTCCATACGTAAGAAACTATGTACTGGATATTTGCAACCATTTTTGTGTATCGTAGTTACAGTTACAGGTGTGGGTTCGATCCCAGCTCTGCGCACCAGTTTCTGGTCAGAATCGGCAAGGAGGCCGGGCAGTTAAGCACAGCAGAATTGTAGTAGTGAGTTGCGAGTTCAAGACTGAAAAATGCTGTGAATGTTCTGCAATGTTAAGAATCGGCAAGACAGCGACAGGCCTAAGGCCTAATAAACGCTGAAACCGCTATTATTATTATTATTATTAATAGGTAGGTGCCAAAATTTGCGGTGAGCAAGAAATTTCGTCTAAAATACTAAACAGATTTGAACAAAACTTCGTATATGAATACCTAACCTCCCAACGCCAACGGTGATGTTTGGCTCACAACAATTTTTTTTCCAATTTTACCTTGGTTCGCAATATGGTCTTTATGCATCAAATGATATGTATCTCGATGTTGTAGCACAATATTTGTAGGAGGAGATAGATTTTCTAAAGTGTCCCTGTTTTGGCCATTTCCTGTGAATTTCACATTTTCTTTCATTTTTTCAGAAAATTCACATGAACAAAATAGTCATCATTTTCGATTTTACAGATGTGTACCAAGTTTGGAGATGATCCTTCCCTAAATATAGAAAATAGATTTTGACCGACATGCTCCCCTTAAAGCTGACATTCTGACCTATCCAACCGTTGGTACCAAAACCATCTCTGTACATTGATTTATGCATTCATGATAGATCACGAAAGAGTTATGGTGGTGGAGTTTTTTGTTGTTGTTTATAGCGTCTATCACGCTTGCTGGGGGGGAGGCTCAGGATGTGGGGAGAGATGGGTGAATGCCAGGAGGGAGGGTGACCAGGAATGCCGCTGCCTCCACTGGGCTGTCCCACAGTGAGGAGACGCTGAGGGATGTGGGGAAGGCTGGGCAGGCAAAGAGATGCCGTACTGACTGGAGGGGATCCCTGCACTCCGGGCAGGCGGAGCAAAGGGAGCGTCCGATACTAGCAAAGTAGGACGCCAGGGAGCTGCCGTATCCTGAGCGGAGCTGGGATAGCGCCAAACGGTAGGGACAAGGGAGTGAGGCCTCCACATTGGCGGTGGTGGAGCAGCGAGCGAGGTTGGCATTTATTGCATCAGTGGCCGCAATGCGGGAGGTGTTCTCTCTGCGGAGAGACCGCTTGGCCTCTACGTAGGCACCGGCGGGCAAGATACCATTTGCCAAGAGTGGTGTGACAAGATGACCAAACCTCGACTGGATGGAGGCTTTCATGGGGTGGTTTCCGAGTGGAGCAGAAATGATGCCGAATGAGGTATTGGAGGGTGCTGGCGAGGAACTGGGCACTAGCCAGGTTCAGGTGCGTGGACAAAGGGAGGACGCCAGTTTCCTGGTGAAGATGGGCGATCGGGGTCATTTTGAGACAGCCGGTGGCCAGTCTCAATGCAGTGTTTTGTATTGTTTGCAGACTGGCAATTGCTGTGCGTGAGGTGACAGGGTACCAATTGAGGATTTGGTGTGTGATGGTTCGGTAGGTGGCAATTATGACCTTGGAGAAGCCCCAGTTGGTACCAGTGTTGCAGGGGGAGCTGTATTGCTTTTTAGCCCAACCCTTTGGCTATCATGCTCATTTACTTGATGTCAGTGTAATGTGTTTTCTCATTATGTAACTTTTATATATATTTTTTTGTTTTCTCTCTAGTCCAGACAAGGAAGTTAAATCATTAATGTAAGTAAATTCCAAAACCAAGCATAATCCTAAAGCAAAATCCAATAAATAACTAATACCTGCACCAGTATGGGACCCTAAGCTAACTCACCACTTGAGAGGAAGTGAGTGATTATTTATTGCATACATTCATTTTATTGCTCAATTGTTGTTATATTACAAATGGTTTATATTTTTGTGATTTCACTTTGTTTTTTATTCTCTATTATTTGTGTTCAGTGTGTTTTAATTCTGCAAGCTATATATTTTAGTGTTCATTAATTCTTCATTAAGCTGTTTGCTGCAATATATGTTTGCTTGATTACTTTTTCTGCATCCATAAGCAACACAGTTGCTCTTAGAAGTCATTATTAAGGTTCTTGATTATTACTGTTTTTCTGCTTGAGTGCTTGTTAATTAATGCTTGTTTATATTTAATCCAATTCTTTATCTTATTATTATTCTTATAGTCCTAGGGCTGTGATGCATGAAAGTAACAAGTTTTACTTTCTTTTATGGCAGATCACATATGCATCTTGTCCATGCTCCTATGCTCCTAAACTGCTTAGGTATATACCAACATTCTCCAGTCACTTATGCACCACACATGTTCATTTCATAACCAAGAGCCATTTACTTGAACTGTAATTTAAATTCTGTTCTATTTGTCCATAATAAGAGATCAAGTTTAGTCTTGTCATTATCCACTTCCCAAGTAGGTTGTTGCCAACCTATCAAGTAGAAGTAGGTGACGTGTTTGCCTCACCTGCGGGAGACACGTGGCAACACCAGCAAGGGCTTTAAAGATGCGAAGAGGGCCCGTCGCTTTCATGGCTATGGCTCTTACATGAGGGGAGAAAGTGAAGTGCATACCCCAGATTTGATGTATAAAGCAGTGGGTGGAGGGGCTCTGGAAGTGAGGGGCGATCAAAGTAAATAACTTGCAGAAAGCGGAAGAGATCTTGTGCTGGGAGGAGAGGAAATTCAGACCAAATTGGATTGGCTGAATGGGGTGGAGTGTGGTTTCGCTTTCCGGCTAGGGAGCAAAGGAGATTCCAGTGCTTAGACTGGTTTTTGCGCCTGCTGCATGACACAAGGTGTGTTCGCCATGTGTTCCTAGCATGGACCTGAATGGAAATGCTAATTTACAGGTTGAGTTCTGGGAGCTGGGGGTCAGTTGGATTACACGCCCTGATGTCATCCTTTTGCTTGATGAGCAGCCAGGTGATAGGGTTGGCAGAGGGGGAGAAGTCCTTCCCGAATCCGGCAGGGATATGCTGTCTGGCAGCAGTCGTCAAGACTTCTCTCAAGGTCGACTCACCGCCACACGAGGGGGGAAGGGACCATTTTGAGTGCTGTTTTGATGGCTGCCGTGTAGGCAGGTCAGTCAGCTTTTTTATAGTTGACGTAAGAGCGGGTGCCCCTGGGGGGTTGGGGAGTCAATGGAAGAAGGGAGATGAATCAGGATGGGCAGGTGGTCCGAGTTGAGAGCAACTTGAGGAGTCCAGGAGGGAGATGTTGAGGAGTAGGTGTCCACTGATGAAGGCAAGGTCCGGTGAGGAGGGCAGGCCATGGGAGGAGAGGTGGGTATGGGAGTCCTCATTGAGGTAGGCGAGGGAGGAACCAGTGACGAGATCGTCCACTACAGCTCCTTGTGCTGTGGCTCTCTGGTCTTACATATGGGAGAACCAGGAGGAATGATGGGCATTCAAATCGCCTACTATTAGACAGTTGCCTGGTATGGAGACAATGTCTGAAAGCTCTGGGGAATATCCCAGGTGGCAGGAGGAGGCTGGTGAGATGTAAACATTGATGATGCAAAGAGAGGGGTGGAGATTGCTATAGCCTCCATGGTGGTGTTGCCACTAAGGAAGGGAGAGATGTCTCACCTGGTGTACGGGACATTGTGGTGGATCAGGATGAGGAGTCTGCCACCGTGACCTCTGGGGTGGTCCCTGTGCTCCAGCACATATCCGGGTAAGGAGAGGGAGTGGGATGCAGCTGATAGCTTGGTCTCTTGGAGACAAGCAACTGCCATGTCATTCTTGGCAAGGTAGGCAGCCAGTTCAACTGCACTAGATTGCACCTCATTGCAGTTAAGCTGGAGGATGCAGAGGTGGGAGAGAGACAGCTTGGGGGGAGGCCAGGGAGGTGAGGGGGAGGAGGGCCTGGCTGGGATCGGGTCAGACCATCTGCACATAGGGCAGATCCAGTCTTTGGAGTAGAGGTTAATGGGATGCAGTCCAGAGCATTGCTTGTGGATCCAAACATTGCACCTGGAGCTCAAGAAGGAATATCGTCACCATGTAACTGGGAGGGAGCAGACTGAGCAGGGGTACCCCCAGCATAGGGGGTACCAGGTACCCCTCACAGGCCAGGCCAGGCCAGGGTACCCCTCACAGCGTAGACGCGGCAGAGATCAGGGTATGGAGTTTTTTAACATCTTAAGGGGAGCGTCTGGCAAAAATTTTATCTTGGCTATTTACAAACATCACTTTGAAACTTGGTACACATATGCAGAACCAAAATGTAAGACTTTTTTGTTCATGTGAATTTTTCAAGAAAAAAATTAAAGAAAACAGCAGTCTAAAAGGGGGCACTGTAGAAGTCTATCTCCTCCTAGGATTTTCAAGCTACAACATCGAGACTCATATCATTCAATGCGTAATGGCCATATCTATCGATTCGACATAGGTTTTTCAAAATTTGGATTTTTCTGGGTGAGGGGAGCATTTTTCATGAATTTGTTTAAATTTTTTTGATTTCCCGATATTTCCCACCTCCTTTTTTCAAAATATTTCCGAAACTATATTGAAAGTGAAAAATGCTACAACCAATCTCAAGATCTTTTATTTGCAAATCAAGGGGTATGTCTCTCATTGCAGTAGCTCAAAAACTCTAGGAGGAGATATCTTTGCAGTGACAATAAGTTAACTGTTCAGTGGAGCCTGAAAAAGTCCTGGGTGCCTCAAAAAATAGGTGTTCAAGGTGGCAAGAATGCAGGACTGGGTGATACTGGAGCTCAATTCCTGTTATGGATGGTGTGAGTGAAGGCCTGTGAACCATCCTGTAGGACTGCAGGTGGATAACTGGAGCACATTGTGTTTGGACTAGCTATTTAAGTGTGCTACTGGGAATTTCCGCCCATCTTAAATGTGAAAAAACTCCACCACTCCCCACCCTTTCCCAATCTGTCATGAACGTATAAATCAATGTACAGAGATGGTTTTGGTACTGTTGGATAAGTCAGAATGTCAGCTTCAAGATGAGAATGAAAACCAGAAAAGCCAAAATCCAAATTTTTTTGCCAGATGCTCCTCTTAGTCACACTCTACTAACCATTCACACTTATTGTCACTGCAATCCTATCTCCTTCTAGAGTTTTTAAGCTACAGCAATGCAAGATATACCATTCGATTTGCAAATAAAATAAATATAGATTGGCTGTAGCTTTTTTCCATTTTGTTATATAGTTTTGAAAATATTTTGAAAAACGGGAGAAATTGAAAATTTTCAAAACTTTTACAAAAAATATGCCCCACCAACAAAAATTTGAATTTCAAAAAAAGCTACTACAAATCGATAGATATGGTACTTACGCATCAAATGATATGTTGTTGTAGCTTGTAAATCCTAGAAGGAGATAGTTTTCTATAGTACCCCCTTTTTTGACCATTTACTAAGAATTTCAGGTTTTCTTTAATTTTTTTGAAAAATTTACACAAACAAAAAAGTCTTAGATTTATGTTTTACATATCTGTACCAAGTTGCAAAGTGATCTATCAGTAAATAGAAGTTTTTCTGGGACCCAGAGGCTCCCCTATGCCTAAATGGAATAGGATATTATTATCTTATTAGTCTAACATACTAAATAATAAATTAGTTCAATTGCTCACCACTGCTGCTGCATCCATCTGTATGTTGGGTATTCTATACTTGAAATATGCTGCACTTCGTTTAAATTTTATAAAATTGAATAATAAATGCTTATTGTTATTGAATACCAATTAAACAAATGTAATTAATTCTATATTACTAAATTCATTCTACTTTTAGTAGAATGAATATTAATTTTTGTATTCTTTTTCTTTTGGCTTTTGTTCATATGAAACTTTTCACCAAAGACTTGGTTAGTACAGAATATTAATGGAGAATTCACGATACAGGTTTTTGCAGTTTACTTTTAAATTATCATTTCAGGTGATAAATTTCACTTGTAACAAAGCATGGAAATGTGGAGATAAAACTTTTAGGATAAATTTGTAGCATGAACATGTACCTAATGCACAACATTAGCAATCAATAATTCAAGGTACTTTTGTACATAATAAATCATACATTAAAATGGATCGCATTGGTAAAAAATGGACAGGGCAGCATTGGCAGCAAGCTGTGGCAGCTTGGTTGTAAATTTTTAAAATAAAAGACCACTACAAAGTGCAGTTTATATCAAGTCCTTAAGTGCCTAATTCAGCCTAAAAAATGTTTAAAATTTCTGTTTCTGCAGGAATTTTAATGCTGTTAACATTGAGAAACTTCAAAGTATCTCTCATGCAAGAAATACCTACTCACTAAATAAATTATAATTTTTTTATAAATGTCACTTGAAAACTGATCACTCCAAGCCTAGCAGTGTTCAGTTTTGGAGTGACGTCTATAGCTGAATTAAAATTTATTTAGCAAGTATTTTAGAACAGGAGAGATACTTTGAAGCTTCTTAATGTTGAAAGCATTAAAATCCATGCAGAAACAAAAATTTTTAATATTTTTTAGGCAGAATTAGGCTTTTAAGGGCTTGAAACAGCACTTTGTTGAGGCTTTTCACTTTAAAATTTTTCAACAAAGTTGCTGCAGCTGCTGGCGCAACTTGCTGCCAACATGATGCTGGACTGTCCCTTTCATTCATTTAATGCAGGTTTCGTTGAAGACCAGAGAGTATTTCTTATTGACAATTTTCTTATTATTTTTCTCGATTCGGCGAATTAGGCTCTTGATAGGAGGTGAAAATCCAAATATCAGGTTTCCAAGGGACATTTTATTATAATTTTACGACGTTTCGAATGCAACTTCATTCATTATCAAGTAGAGGACGAGTTTTGCAACAAGTGATCTTGGAAACCTGATATTTGGATTTTCACTTCCTATCAAGAGCCTAATTCGCCGAATCGAGAAAAATAATAAGAAAATTGTCAATAAGAAATACTCTCTGGTCTTCAACGAAACCTGCATTAAAGAACAGCTTCTGCCAAACTACACTAATGTTCATTCATTTAGTACATAGTTATCTTTTGTTCGGGCAAGTGCTAGTGTGTTGCGCAGTGGTCCATAAAGAAGCATTGATTGGTTCAATTGTCATAAGACAATGCTCTTTTATATTACCTATAGAACTGCACTATGCACCATGACATGCAGTTAGCCAAGAACAATTTCAATCTGACCTATTTGCACAGTCAGCCATGCACACAGTAGTGCAGGCAGAGGGGGAATAGTGGCAAAACATTTTTTTAGAAACCGGTCCATTTTTAATTCCATAATACAGTTCAAAATTGTATTCAATATCTCTGCATGATGATGCTTGTATTCTAGATATATATACTGGTCTACTTATATATAAAACTCACTTGACAATAGGAAAGGTCAACAAAAAAAGTCTCTTGTTTGCCAATATGGTTGAGCCCCAGTGAGGAAAACCTTTGAAGGCGCAACTAGAGCTTAGATTTGGATTAGGGGATGGCGACTCTGAAAAGAACATTCCAGAATAAGGTCTTTACAATGGCTATCTGCCATGCATCACATGTTTAGTTTTAGTAGGAGAGAAAAGGGAGACCATGCCAGGACAAATTGACATTAAAGTAGAGACCAGAGGGGGTGTGAAAGTTTGGGATAATGGTAAGATGGAAAACAAGGGTAAGAGAAATTCAAGTGGAAATTTATTTGGTTTATTATTGCTACCATCAAACGGGGTAATAAGGGAATGGGCGGGATAAATCAGCACAGTCTTCTGTCATGGCGTAAAAATGTTATAGCAGCAAAACTAATAAAAATATAGCAAAACTATAAATAGTTGCATAAGCTTCAAGATTTCTCATATCTACCATCAAACATGGTAATGAGGGACGGTTTTGAGTGTTTTTTTGTTAATAACTTCTTGCCATGAAACATTACATAAACAAGTTTGGGCTCATTATTACAACACTTCTCTTTAACTTCACTTCTTGTTTGTCTGTCTGCTACAAATCTTGTAATCAAAATTTAATACACTTCTACTTATCCCATCGATCTGAAATTTTGCCCACTTGTGTAAAGTTGTAGACAATGCATGAATCAAATGTCAAAATAAATGATTTTAGAAATAAAAAAAAATTCCAATATTAAAAAAAATTGAAAAAATAATTTTGTCAGCTACAAATCTTATAACTGATATTTGACACTCTTTTACCTGTCTAATTGATCTGAAATTTTGCACACTGGTGTGAAATCAGAGGCAATGCACGAATCAATTAACAGAATAAATAATTTTGAAAAAAAAATTTATATATTAATAATTTATATATTAAAAAAATTTATATATATTTAAAAAATTGAAAAGGTAATTATTTTAATTTTCGAAAATTAGATGAGAAATTCATTGTACATCTGTAAGATTGGAGATACTGGATTCTTTGGAAGTGTTGTCTTTAAAAAGTTGTTTTTAAATGTATATTATTTTATAGCTCTCTTTGCGAGGGCTATTGTATGGCATCTTCAAAAAATTACATATTTTATTTGTAAGGTGCCGTCTCAAGTGTAATATTGCCGACTTATTTGTAAGGTGCCGTCAAAGCGTCTCAAATTACCCCTGATAACGGGGTAATCTGGGACACTTGGAATAAAACTTGATTTTAAAATGTTTGATACATGCAGAGTGTACTCATCTATTACTAACATTAATCTAAAGTCCTCCTTTTCCTTTGTAGATGATGTAGATGTAGAATAAATGACATTTTCTGTGATTTTTACTTGTTTTTTCCTTTATTGATATGATATTACCATATCCATACATTACCATATTATTGATGTGATGTAACTGTATCCATGAACATGCCGTTGAGCATTTACAACAACCTTGTCCACTGCAAGCATCATATCAGCAGCCATGAAGCACTTTTCTGTATCTGTAAGCTTACAGGAAGGCTTGTAATTTCACACCATTTTATTTGGGTCAAGTGACCCAAGTTCACTATGACGAAAAAGATCATAAAAATGTCCTACATCAAAGGAATATTCTAGTGACAACCATCATATTTTTTGGAGGAAAAATCATAGATTAGGTTAATTACTTTTCATTTTATGTTGCCCAGTGCACAATTATATCAATGACATCCAAGGCACAATTTTGTGATGACCACTGATGCATTAATTTTTGGTAAGCAAAATGTTTTTTGCTAAGCAAAGTATATATATAATAAAAAATATTTTTTTGTTGTTAATTGATTTTTCATTAACTGGCCTTTGCTAATCAAGGTTCAACTGAAAATGCATTTTTAGAGGTGTCCCTTATTACCCCAGGGGATGTCCCTTATTACCCTGTCCTGCAGAAATGGCCACCATTTTTTTATGAAATGAGATATGCAAATTATGTCAATCACGTTTTTAAGCCAACCCCTGTGTGCAGCTTTTTAAGTAAAATTTTTTGATACAGCAAATATTTTTTTGCTACAGACCTTAGCAGAGGTACATTTCCAAAATACCTATCGCTTTTCACACTTTTTTCAGGGATTTTTTAGAGGTAGTAAATGTATGGTTTATTGACTTACTTTAAGCTATAGATAGTAAAAATATTGAACTTTATTCCACTATTTAAAGTTTTGCAATATTTCAATTAGTTGAGCAGCTACAACATTTCTACGAAATGTTGGACAACTGCCCCTAATTACCCCATTTGACAGCATGTAGCATGAAGGAAGTTATGAAATTGTACATTTACTAGCTCTAAAATATAACTCAGTACTCACTGCAGTGAGTGACAGAGAGCGCATTTTCTCATCAACAAAAACTTGAGGTCACGGATGGACAGATGGACAGACAGACAGACAGACAGACAGACAGACATGGCGAGCACAATAGTGCATTTTTGCCATAAAAGAGAAAATGCACTAAAAATACCTAAAAAAATGTTTTAAAATATATTTTGTAAAAAAAGTACTTCTGTTAAGGTCTGTAGGAAAAAATATTTCTTGTATTAAAAGAATTTTGCTGGAAAAAAAACTTGCAGCCAGGGTCTGCTTTGAAACTTTATTTACTGAGTTTGCGCATCTCAATCGAAGACAAAATGATAGCCATTTCCACATGACGGGGTAGTAAGGGAAACCCCCACCCGGAGTAATACGGGACACCACTAAAAATGCATTTACTGTAGAACCTTGGCTTGCAAAAGCTTTGGTTAACAAAAAAATTGGTTAGCAACAAAGAATTTTGATCAAATTTATCTCTCTCAGCAAAAATTTCAATTCATGGAAAATGAATGCATCAGCGTTCATCACAAAATTGTGTGTAGAATGTCAGATAGAATTGTGCACTTGGGCAACATAGAATGAAAAGCAAATAACCAAAACTATGATTTATTTCTCCAAAAATATGATGGTTGTCAATGTAATATTCCTTTCATTTCAGCTATGTTTTTTACAATCTTTTTTTGTTATAATAACGAAAACTTTATGGCGGAAAGACAAAAACTGTATATACGAAATAATTTATTCGATCAACCGTGTGCAGGAGTTAATAAGATTGCGTGAATTCCGCCACTGTTTCGTTCAATGAAGGGCCAGCAGAAAACTTGAGGCGGATGACGTCATGCGTACGTCATCATGCGGCATCTATTAAGTAAATAATGAAGATCACATCAATATACCGAGAAGAGATTAATTGATCAATCGTTGTACTTGGAATTTGTCATTGGTTTCTCTGAGATCAATTAGCGAGTTTAACAATCATTTAATCAATTTGGAATTAGTTATCGATCACTAACTCAATTATACATCATTTGGATCAATTTATAAAAATCATTTCATATCATTTGCTCTATTGAAAACATAAGATTAGATCAGTTGGCCCTACATCTTTATTATAAATCAGGCCGTGAAGCGGCTATTAGATCTTTAACCCAACACCATCCTTGACAATGAATCACGCCCTGTCAATGCCGGACTTACAGTGTATTGAATAAAGACTTGTCATCTATGGTAAGTTTGATCCAGCTGAGTCTTCGAAGAGAGGTCCATCATCCCGGGGCGGCTGGTGCAGGTATAGATTAAGGAGACATTAGACGTCGGTCCACAGGGCCAGGGAACATCACTTGGAGGAGGTATCCAACGTGAACATCACGAGCTCAACACGAACACAGGCTCAAGTTCTCCTTAGCAACAGTAGGATCCAGATCCGTCCGTACGTCCAAAAAATCTCTCTTCCACTGGAGCCACAGCGCTGTTGTAGCTGTCGCACCCTGGCTTTTCCTTGCTCTGAATTTTATTAGTATCACGGACAATTGGGGGCGAAAAATTCAAAAGTCAAAAAGGCGTTGGGTCAGATCTAATATTTCATGGATATTGTTCTTTAGGATTATTTGATAATGTGGTAATTTATTTTATCCCTATATACAACACCATTCGAATATTGCGATATTCGATATATAATGAATTATTTCACTTGGCTGGTTGACCCAGTTAAAATAATGCAAAATTACAAGCCCAGTACCATAAGCTTACAGAGGAAATGCTATAGGGCTGATGATATGAAGCTTGCAGTGAAAAAGGTTGTTGTAAATGACATGGAAGTTTTTGGTGATGTAAAATGGATACAGTAAAATTGTCAATAAATGGAAAACGAATACAAATCACTGAAAACGTCATTTATTATAGGTCTACATCATCTACAAATGAAGAGGCAGATTTTGGAGTACTGTTAGTGCTGGATGAGTACACTCTGCATGCTTCAAACTTTTTAAAATTAATTTTCATTTCAAGTGTCCCATATTACCCCATTCCCAGAGGTAATTCAGGTCACTTTTTTTGCTTCTGGCACTTTACAAATAGCATATGGTATTTTTTACCACACAGAGATACCACACAATAGCCCTCACAAAGACCTTTAAAATGAGCTCAAACTTGCTAATGAAATGTTTCATGGTAAGGTGTATCAATGAAAAATGAAAATAAAAGTGTCCCTTATTATCCCCTTTGACAGTATATCCCATTTATTGCGCTGTAGAATTTACATTCATATTAGATAAGGAACCTCTTGGGCCCTGAATGACTATTTGTGTTCTATTAAAGTATTATTGATAGTTATTTTATTATTCCTATTTTCCTTAGACCCTTCTGGCCTTCATTCTTGCCAACCTCTTCCTCTCCCACATTCTCCTTGCACCCTCCAAATATTGCTTTCCACTCTCTGTCATAGATCATTATCATTATGCAGCTTTTTCTTTTGTAATCTGGCATGCTCAGTACAGTTCATAGATATTAGCTGGCATCTCTTTCATATATTTTAATATTTATATAGGTACATATGTGTCTTAGTTTCAAAGCTGGTGTGCCATATTTACCTTGTGTGTCATTTGATGCCAATAAATTGGGACCTGAAGGCTTAAGATCCAGCATTGAGAGTATTTTATTTCATTTTTAATATTTTATCACTACATGAATAATACATTTGCTTTATTTGATGTTCTTCCATTGATCATAAACATTTTTCTTTTTGAATTAGATTTAGTACTAAACTAAATTTTTATATCCGCAGATCCGTCTACAATGAGTGAAGAAGCCTGGTTAACTTGGAGCATAGCTCCTAGTGGGAGCGATGCAAATAATTCCAACACATTCTGCATCATCAAAGACCCTGAATTTGACACCGAGATTGAAGGTGGACTGTCCAACTGCAGCACTGAAGAGACTATGCAGGAGGGCCAATGGCAGATGGTCCAAATGTCTCAGGTCACCAGAGAGCCCAGCAACCACGTTTTAATTCCAGCATCTCCCACGACTGAGAGATTCCTTTGTCATTTGTGCCACAAAAGTTTCAGTTCTCGTGCGTACCTGCATCAGCACATTCGATTGCATTCAGGAGAGAAACCACATGTATGTGATGAATGTGGTATGGCATTTGCACAAAAATGTAATCTTAAAATGCATAGAAGAATACACACTGGTGAGCGGCCATTTATGTGTGGGATTTGTGGGAAAACCTTCAGCCGATCGTCACATTTGAAAGGTCACATGCTCCGTCATACTGGTGACAAGCCTTACTCGTGTGACACGTGCGGCCAGCAGTTTACCAATTCTCAAGGGAAGAAAAACCATATGCGCTTGCATTTAGGTGAGCGTCCATTTCAGTGTGAAATATGCAATGCAACTTATGCTCATAAGGAATCTCTCAAAATTCATGTGAAATCTCACAGACGCGAGTCACGCTACTACTGCTCCATTTGCAAGCGTAAATTTGTCTTGAGATCTGCCCTCTATGAACACATGACTTTTCACAGTAAAAACAAAATGTTTGAATGTGATCAATGTAACAAGAGGTTTAAACAAAAATATTATCTTAAGAAACACAAAAGTACCATTTGTTGTAACCGCCCCCTGCTGCCAGAGATCAAGGTTGAAAACGGTGTTAAAGAACCTACTCAGTTGAAATATCGCGTGTTGACCGCTAACGAGAAGGCTTTACCCCAGTACAGTGACAGCGATGAGGAGGATGACGTTCATGAGCAGCTTAGTGTTCAGCAGGACAGTGATGAAGAGTTCCTAGATGGCGCCTTTGTCCGGGTATTGCGTAGAACTGGGTATAAAATCTAGTATAAATCGCGTTTATATCGATGCTTTCTCTTATTTGATGCATGTTGGATCAAGTGGGTTGTATAATTGTGTGTTGCCGTGTTGGCATAAGTGCGTTGTATAGTTGTGTGCCAGACAAATTATTAAGACCAATAGAATAAGTGCTTACAATTATTTATTTTTATTAATTATATTTGCTGCGCACTAACTGAATTAATTCTGGGAAAACAAATTATTTAGAATTGCTTTTTTAATTGCTTTTCATAGTTGGTTTTATTTCATAATCATTTGTATATTATTTGATTTCTATATTAAAAGCCAGACAACTAGAACTCAATTTGATATAATTCATTTTAGTTAATAATTTGATATAATTGTTACTTTATATTATTAAAATTCAATAATCTGTATTGTTTATACCAACTATTTATGCCGACACGAATGTCAAGTAGGTCAATGTCCTAGAAAACTTCTAATAAACCGATTTTATCATCTCAAACAAAAGATCTCTTCATGGCTGATGCAGCCATACAATGAAAAAATTTTGCGACTTTTTCATTCTTTTTTGAGTACGTGAATAGTTCTTGTTCTCCGGAGTTCCGAAGAAAATAAATTGAACGATAATGTGGTTAAATGAGAAAGAAAGTAAATATTGTCAATCTTGTAATTTGAGCTGCTGTTTAGAAATAGCCTGCTTTAGGTTGTTACATTTTTTAATGCTCGCAAAGTGATAAATATTCAAACTATTCTGTTGGTATTCGGGCCGCTGTTGAACATGTTGCAATTGAAGGACTTCTCATAAAAGATGTGAAATTTCAATGGAATCCGATTATTCAATGTTATCACATGGTTCAGAATTTTTGCGGGTGGTTGTAGAAGAATAATTAAGTTTGAACTTAGGATAGGAATTAAAAACGATAAAATTTGAGCTAAATTTACTTCAAACTTAATGAAGTGCAAGCCGCTGCACCATGGCACGCTCAAACAATGCAGTCTAAGACAAGCGAGAGGTCAGCTATGGTTGATTTTTGTAGTAACGTAAACGATGGAAAATTGTGTATTACGGGACACTAATCGGTACTCCGGCAATGTGCATGCAGCGACTATGGTCAATTGCTAGCGTGCAATTTATATTAGATATTACTCAATGGTGTCCTATGCCAATTCTTGCCTGCAGTCAGCTCCTCGATGAACAAATGAATGGAAAAAATTGAATTATGACAATAAAATAAAGATTTATTTGTATCGTTGCAGGTACATGAATAGGATATTTATATTTGTTGTCTTAGTTCCTAGGAAATATTCGATAAAGAAATTAACACATTTTACATCAGCAGAAAACAAAATGTTCAAACGAAAAATTATCCACGTCGCTTCAATGCCTCTTTCTTGGACGTAGAATAACAAAGAAGTTCAATTTAACCCTCGTAACTTGTGCTAAGCTAACTATCGGAACCGCTCAACTATACGAGCAGTACGTTAATTTACTTTCTCTCATTCCTAAATTTTCAAACTCCTTTCACAAGCAAAATTTTTAACAAAACTCTAGGTCAAATATCAGCTACGGAAAATCTTAAACGGAGGAGCCTCTGCATTATGGAATGACACGATAAATGAATTATTCAACATGGCATGGGCACCAGCAGAAAATCAGAGACGTGCCATTTACACTGAACACTTTGCCGCACATATTGTTAACAGGAATGATAAATTTTAATCAAAGCTCCTACTCCGAACGTATTTCATTGCGCATTAATCCACTTGTCCATTAAAACGTATATTTTAAAACACGTTTAATGATAGATTAAGCGTAGTTTCAAATGAAAGCTGAATGAGCAGTGAAAGTCGTTGGTCGAAAAACCATAAGTTTTATCTAACCAAATAAAAAACGAACTTGAAATGAACAAAACTTGTGTATTATTTTGCACAAATTTTGTTTATTTTGTACAAAAAATTGTTTCTTGTTTCACATACAAAATAATGTATGTGAAACAATGAATTGACCATTTGTAGACAAGGGTCACTCAGATCAACATGTTTTAGAATTAGTAATAAACACGTCAAATGAAGACCGGATGTGGAAATAAATGTTCCATTAGATGAAAATCGATTGAAATGTACACAAGACCTGAGTAGAAATAAGTTTTGAAGGTCAGATTGTTCAGTTTCATTTTGGCATGGAAAATGTCCGGCCTGATACCAACAATCAATTAAAAGCACTAAGTTTTGAATTTTTTCTCTGATTGCGATGTGTCCTCTACTTCATCGTCATCGGAGCGAGCCTCTCTTTTGGCAGCGCTGCCTTGCAGCTCGTCACCCTGGCTGGTGGTAGTGGCAGCCTTCTTGAGCCACAGCGCCATGATGGGGTTACCTGGGCCGCTGCTCGAATTCTTTCTGCAACATTGGAGACAAAAATACTATCATGGTGACGTTCAAATTGTATCAGATGATAAATCTTAGTTCAGAGAACGGTGTTATGAACGGTACGTTTCTTCAAAAGATAAAATGAAAATACGACATTCCCATTTGAACACAGAAATTCATCAAGAATGATCGATCCAATAAAATTTGGTTAAATCAAAAAGTGAACTACTATTTAACAGATAGACAACATTGCACAGCTTAGAAATATTTTGTTTCGAAGTATACGCAAATCACGAGAATCAGTTATTCTTGACCAATTAAGGATTCAATAACCCAAGAGGCTTGCTGCAGAATTGCTGTCGCTAACGCAACTTTTGAAGTTTTGTTCTTTCCTGTTGCCACACTCACTGTTCAAGAGGAGCCAGAAAACTTACTGCTCAAAAGGAGCCAGACAATTTACTGCTCAAAAGGAGCCAGACAACTTACTGCTCAAAAGGAGCCAGACAACTTACTGCTCAAAAGGAACCAGACAACTTACTGCTCAAAAGGAACCAGACAACTTACTGCTCAGAAGGAACCAGACAACTTACTGCTCAAAAGGAACCAGACAACCTACTGCTCAAAAGGAAGCAGACAACTTACTGCTCAAAAGGAGCCAGGCACTGCTTGGAGTTGTTGCGGGAGTTGTTGACAAGACTGGAGACTTTGTGCCACTTGAGAACAGGATCACTGCACACTAACTTCAGGGCAATTGCGGGCTCGATGGAAGGATCGAGCCATGTCTGTGATTGGATCAAGGATACAAGATAGGAGAGTAAGACACAAAAACCTATATTTTTCATACCTTAGATGCATTAAAAAAATAAAAACTCTGGTATGAAGAAGGCACTTGCCAATAATGAGCTTAGTCTGGCAAGTAAGATATATAGGTAATTCATTACCCTATCAGATGTTGTATTGAAAAGTAACATGCGTCAACAACCAGCATATTGGAATCCTCAGAGGTCATCAGGCAACAGTGAATACCATGAGTAATGCTTATGACAATATAAGTGACCTTCACAGAGTCGGAGTCTGGTAACACAACTGGGACTCTGTGGTGTAGCCAATTGAAACTTTTGCCAGCTTCTGTTGTGAGTACAGTGTAGCTCCACACTTCTTCGCCCTGCACACAGCAACATTGCTTAGACATTGCATAATTGTAACATTAAACATTCATCAAAAATTGGCTGCCATGATCTAGATTTTTCACGATTTTACTGAAAATTAGGTTGCAGAGTAAAGGTAAGGCACCTCAGGAGAGTGCCAGCATGAGAAGAGACCAGCAAGCATGAGAGGCCGCAAGCCTTGCCATGGAGTTTTCACCCCCGGTTCTGTTGAATGGTCTTCAGCCAGTCCCCACGAAGTATGGTCCCAAACCTTAACCTGCAATACAAAAAATAATAGTAATGCAAGCAAATAGCCTAAATCCATTTTACTAGAACCAAATTTGATAAGTCGTATCAGCAAATATTACGTTTTCAGGTTGAGGAGAGTAAATGAAGTAGGGTGTCTTGTTTCCGTTTTTCGTCTGCCATTCATAAAATCCATCACAGAGCACCACACATCTGTAACATATATTGAGATAGAAAATACTACACGTTTGTTTTGGGGCATAAAATGAGTGAGCTGGATGGTTCTTGAATATAACAAACAGAAAAGTTCAGTACAATGGGAAAAATATCTGAAATTATGAAATTCACTGATTTAATCGTGTATTGAACCAAAGTACAACTGTAATATCTCTCACCTTTGACCCTTTTTCATAACCTGAGAAAACATTGGTTTCTCGAGGATGCTTTCCACACGAGCGTTATTGGTTTTGTATCCATGATTTTTTGGAGTGCTACCCTGACACAAGAAGATGACAGAGTTGAGCCATTACACAGTCTTGGTGGCTAGACATAGACATTAGATGTGGGCAGATCATGCGCTAATAAGTTAAGACTAGTATGCATGCTTGAGACGGTGACAAATAACATCAACAGAAATTTTTGCCAGACATGGAAGGAAATGATGGGAAAGTATAATAAAATTGCTTATTTTTTCAACTGACACAAAGTTTATTGATAAACAAAAAATTTTATCGACAGTGAAAGAAAAATTTGCATAAGCAATCCAACATAATTATTGAATAGAATGATTATCACACAGCAATCAGAATTAGCTAAAGCACTCAAATTCCAATCATTAACTGGGGGTACAAGGGGTACCTTATAGAAATGGGGTACAAGGTTCCACATCATTGGCTGAATAACATAGTCCATGAACTGCTTTTCATCTGTCATGCTTTGAATTAGTGCACCACTGAAAGAAACAAAAGTTATCAGTGACTTATCTAAATTACTTATATTTATCACAGTTACATTACAGAAGTTTATGGCAAAATTAAACAGGTTATAAATGAAGAAGACAAATAAAAAACCATCATGATTTCATGATACAGTAGAGCAATGTTTTAAATCATTCTACATGAATAATATCCTGCAATAAACATTAAGTCAACAATCATCAAAATTAAAAACAAAGTCAGACTAACTTGACAATTACAGGAGAGTTCATAGTTGGCGTGAGGTTGTAGTTGGGAGAATATATTTGTTTAGAGTTGCTTGCATCCCTCCAGGCAACGTCCACTCCTTCTTTTTGGCATGCTGCACACCATTCCTCAGGTCCAAGTGTGCTGGGAAAAATAAGGAAGAAAAATTGGTATACTCGATATTTGTATTGCAACATCAACTTATTTATAAACATGAAAATAGTAAGCTAAGAATAGCTTTAATACGCTACTCACTGCATAGATTCCCACTCTACTCTACTAGGAGCATATAACTTGAGCTGATAAGAATACTAAGCAATCACTTCATGTAAGAAAGTTGTTGAATTAATGGAGCTAACATCACATCAATAAAGCTACAAACATAACCACACAAAATGTGGTATATATATTACAAATAGAATCAAGAAATTACTGGTCAGAATTCAATTAGAGCAATAAGGATTTTTGCTAGGATAAATAATGTAGGGTAATTCTAACAAGCATCATAAATGAATATTTTGTACTCATAACAGTACGAGTGTATTCAAAACGTAGGCATTTGATTATTAGGATAAAGGCAACACAACAAATTAACCTAACTAACTACTACATGTGTGAAACCAACTGTTTGAAACACAAACATTAATTATGTCAATTTGACTTTAATCACTCGTTAAAAAATATTCAACATATACCATGCAAAAATATATGGATCAGCTCCCACTGCTGCAAGCAACAAAATGCAGTACTCAGGGGCCACAAAATAATGTAACTCAATGTTACTCACCAGGCAGTTCTTCCACACATTATAATAGTTTGGGATGCAAATATAAGGACTGTGAACTACCTAATTTATTATTTTTATCTGGTAGTTATAACGTACAATGAGAAAAAACTCAAACTTTTTACCACCTTAAATATTTGAATTTCAGTTTACTGCCAAATAAATTATCACTTTACATTCTTCACTATTCTTATTCAAAAGAAGAATAGATTTATATGTAATTTATTATAAAATTTAATTAGGAATCTTTGCATAAAAAGGATTCTTCATCTTAATCATGGGAAATGTGCTGTTCAAACAACTTGTTTCACTGTTCCCTTTACTGCCAGTTACTGTTCAATTCTTCAGTGAGGTGATGGAGTGCTGCACCTCAGACAATTCATTGCATTAATTGCTAGTATTTGTCAAACTGTTAGAGCTTAATGATTGAAGTGGCAGGTTGTGCTTAATGCTGAAGTTTTCCAAAGCTCTACAGGCAACTGATGTGACAGATGACAGTACAGTTCTGAAGCTATGTAGGACTCCTGGCAATATATCCTCCCAGTCCTACCCAGAAGAAATGGGATATTAGACATCCATCAAACAGGGTAATGAGGGACGGTTTTGAGCGTTTTTTCCTTAATAACTTCTTACCATGAAACATTTCATAAATGAGTAATAATATCACTCGTTTGCTTGAATTGCAAATTCACTAAAAACTTAATAGCAAAGAAAACACCACAAAATTTCATAGTATCTTTAAAGAAAACGTTTCGGAGTCCAGCTCCATCGTCAGTTCCATCGTCAACTTCACAACCTCGGAATCCACAACGAAATTCATCCTGTCAACCCAGATAAGGTCGTTTTTAACTATAGTTCCTTCAGCCTGGAACCCCGCGCCAAATTGTTGTTAGCTTTTGGCCTTGATTTTTGTTTGCCCATTTTTAAGTTAGACTATTATAAATTTTTTTTAGCCTTTGAAAGACTTGCTTTGAGTATAAAGAATGTTTCAATCCCCAACCGACCTGAATTTCTTGGGGAGCTGCAAAGCTTAGCATACCGTCATTTTTATGGATTCAAGTCATATAAAATTTTTTCTTCTGTATTCAAACCCCGTGACACTCTTTTATTGAAAGATTTGGCCAAAAATATAGACCTGATCATTTGTAGACCTGATAAAGGCAGGGGTGTTGTATTGGTCGATCGTAGTCGGTACAACAGTAGCCTTACTGAACTTATAACCAATCCTTCTAAATTCGTTGAAATTACAGACCCAATTTCTAAAACAATTTTGAAAATTGAAGACAAAATTAATAACTTCTTGCGAAAACTTAAAGATTCTTCTGCCTTTTCACTGGAAACTTATTCTAAACTTTACACATCTGGTTCATGTCCTGGTATTTTATATGGTTTGCCCAAAATTCATAAATCCGATTTTGCCTCTAAGTTCCAATTCCGGCCAATTTTTGCCACTTACAATACGCCTAGTTTTAAACTTGCTAAGTTTTTGGTACCTGTTTTAAACTGTCTCACGACTAATAAGTATACTGTAGACAATTCTTATACGTTTGTGGACCGCTTAAAGGATTTTACCAACGTTCAGGACCTAACTATGGCCTCTTTTGATGTGGAAAATTTCACGCCGAGCAGTGCGATGTTCCAGTTTCTGACAGCGACTTCAAAGTTTTAGCTTCCAGTTCCGGTGTTTCTGATTTGCGCATTTTAGAATCATTGTATATTTTTAAACAGAGGCCTAGTTTGAATTTAGCTTTTAGCTCTTACCCGCTTGAAATTGTGAATAGGTAGGTTTTGCAGCTTAGGATTTTCGTTGTATTCTTGACTGTACTAATCACTGATTTATCTGTGTTCTAGAATTTTCGAACTGACGATGGAGCTGGACTCCAAAACGTTTTCTTTAAAGATACTATGAAATTTTGTGGTGTTTTCTTTGCTATTAAGTTTTTAGTAATTTCATAAATGAGTTTGGGCTCATTTTAAAGGTATTTGCTAGGGCTATATGGCATTTCTGAAAAAATTCCATATGCTATTCGTAAGAAGCCAGACGCAAAATAAAAGCCTCCTAAACCAACCCTGGAAATAGGGTAATAAGGGACACATGAAATAAAACTCAATTATTAAATGTTGGAAGCATGCAGAGTGTACTCATCCATTACTAGCAGTACTCTGAAGTCCTCCACTTCCTTTGTATATGATGTAATTGTAGAATAAGTGAAATTTTCTGTGATTTTTACTTGTTTTTCCTTTATTTGTATGATATTACCCTATCCATACATTACTGTGTTATTCATGAGATATTACCAATCCAAGGACATGCCATTGAGCATTAACAACAACCTTGTCCACTGCAAGCTTCATATCAGCAGCCATGTAGCATTTCTTCTGTAGGTAAGCTTAGTGGATGGCTTGTAATTTTGCACCATTTTAATAGAGTCAAGTGAATTCACTATAACAAAAAAAAAGATTGGGAAAAACATACCTGAAACACAAAGGAATATTTTAGAGACAACAATCATATTTTTTTAGGAAAAAAACATAGTTTAGGTCAGTTTATTTTCATTCTCTATTGCTCGGTAAACAATTCTATCTATGACATTCAATGTACAGTTTGGCAATAACTGATGATGTAATCATTTTTGTCTAGTGAGATTTTGGGCTGAGCAAGGTAAATCTAATCAACATTCTTTGTTGTAGATTAATTTTTTTTGTTAACTGGAGCCTTTGCTAACCAGAGCTCTGCTGCAAATGTGCTTTTAGGGGTGTCACTGATTACCCCGGCAGCCATTTTTTTCTGGAATGAGATATGCTAATTCAGTCAATCACGTTTTTAAGCCACCTGTGTGCAACTTTTACGTAAGCAAAATTTTTTAATGCAGTGAATATTTTTTTTGCTACAGACCTTAGCAGAAGTATTTTTCCAAAATCTCACTTTTCACACCTTTTTCAAGGATTTTTTAGAGGTAGTAAATGTATGATTTCTTAACTTGCTTCACACAACATAGATAGTAAAAATGTTGAACTTTATGCCAATATTATTTGTTTTGCAATATTTTAATTAGTTTAGCTGTTACCAACATTTCTACGAAATGTCAGAGGACGGTCCATAATTACCCTGCCCATCCCTAATTACCCCGTTGGATGGTACTTATATGCCTGTACTAACAACACAAGTCTTCCTCACATGCTTTCTAAGTAAAATAAATTGCTGTGATGTGCAGATTTTGCAAGCCTGCCTCCCATTTAACATGGTGAGTTACTAAACTATTTGGTGTTTGGTGGTCAGCCAATACACCTTGCAAGAATTCAAGGCATACAAGATGCTTGAAGCTTACAAACAATTTGTGGATAGTGGATGGATAGCCTGATAGATACAGGCAATGGAGAAATGAAACTTCAACGAATCAAGAAAGGCGATGTACTTGGTAGAGTTAGTTTTGTATAGTATAACTGGACAAAGATAATGATGCTGATGAATGGAACCTTCTAAGAATGGAAAATGAAATTCCTTTTCACATTTTTGAAGAGGAAAAGGATAGAATTTTATCAATGTTTACCAGGTAACCAGGGTTTGGATGGCTCATAAACATAACATAACATAACATAGTGATGTCGGCTCTGAAGTGTAGGCCTGATGTGGCCTGTTGCCGATTCTTTTCCATTTTGTGCCTTGTTTATAGATCTAAACTCGTGTCATTTGACCGGATCTTTTCATGACTGGCGATAGTTTGAAGAAGCTACTAGACTTCCACTGGGTTCGATAAGGAGCTAGGCATTTCAAATCTGAACATATATTTTTCCATAGCTTTATCTAGTCTGTTCTTGAACGCGTTCATACTTGGAGCGCCAACGATGTCATCGGGGAGGCTGTTCAATATGTCGGTGATTCGAAGCGAGAAGAAATTTTGTCGCGTGGAGAAATTGCAGCGCAATTTTTTTGACTCATAGTAATACCGATCCTGATATTGGATGCACTCATGAAGGGAGCGCTGCCGTAGCCCAAAAATTTGACTCTTAAATCAGCCCAAGAGCCAATGCCAACCCTCTACATGCAATAGAAATAGTCAGCCTAACACCTATGCAGCTGTTCTTACTTGCCTCATCTCACCACACCAGCTTGAAACAAGCAATGCCTCAGCCCGCAAGCTGATAGTCTGATACTCCAAACAGATTACACCCAATAGCTCCTACACCAACTATTTAAGCCCATACCATCACTTCTTACAAAGGCCGTAAGCCACAGTGTCCGCAGACCGCACTAGACTGCCGTAAATGGGAACGGCCCTGCACCGGACTATCGCATCACCTTACCCACTTCGCAGGCGCAAGCCCAGCTCTGATGCTCACCAGCATCTTCTTCCTCCACACTTACCCCCTTCTGTACACCTTTCCGCGAAAGGGTTAGGTTAGGTTGGAATTCTTCCGCAAGCTGGTACCGAAAGGAGGACGAGCAGGGGGTAAGCGTGGAGGTTTAGCCTCCAGAAGAACGGACAGGCTGGAGAGGAGGTAGCAGTGTACTCAACTGATAGCACTGTGGTGCAGGGCATTCTTTGTCGAAAGTGGGGAAGGGGCTAGGCTGCAGGAATAGAAAAATTTTGGGTTTAGCGTGGGTTACAACCATTATTTTGGCGGCTTGCAGGTCATTGGCTCGCTGGTTTACATCCATGCATAGTGGTAAAGCAGAGAATTTTTTAGACTCTCCCTCAAGTTCATTTTTTAGTCCTATAAGTAGACCAGTAAAGTATCCTGGATACCAGCATCATCATACATAAGAAATTTGTTTAAATCTTGGGTAAATGAGGAAATTAAAAATGAACTGATTCTAAAAAATCACTGGTTTGCCACTATGCATCCATGAAGGGATTTAGTCCCTGTGGCTTTCAGCAAGTAATCATGTCAGCTAATTTGCTCTGCAGCATGTTTGTGCATGGAGTGAAGTATGAAAATTATGCTGGTATTGGGCAATGCTGGGCTATTTCAGTTGTCCCCTCATGATAGTCATGAACTGACCAACAACACACCAATTAACCAGAAACCTCGACGTTTTGCAAAACCAATTTATATTGAAATTGAAAGGCAATGTAAATAAATCGAAACATTTGATGTTATAGAACAAAGCGAATCATTTTGATTTTCCAACAAGCAAGCCAACGGAAACTGCAACAACACTATCAATTCAATGCAGGATAATGGATCATGACAATCGGGACAATGTTTTCTGATCTGTAAATATTATCTGTAATACGTTTTATTCTTACTAATGTAGCTTATATAAAGGCAAGTAACAGATTTTGCCCCCTGGAAAATGTATAGTATCGTATATAATAAATATTCACGGCTGGTAAACTGATATCATGATATGCGATACGTATATCAGCACGGGCCATAAATTGATACGATATACACGGCATTCACGGCTAGTAAACTGAATAAACACATTCTATTGTATAGTTTTTTGTTTAAATGGCCATGATGCGCAACAAGGATAGTTCCGGGCTTGAAAGGCAAGTCCTATGAGGAAAGATTATGAAGCTTCCAAGCCTCCATTATCAACGTCTGCGTGGCAGCGTGGGGACCTCATTGAAGTATACAAATATACTCATGGCTTATACAAGGTCCCAGAAGGATCACTAGAATTTGAAACAAGAACCAACACCAGGGGCCACGGCTATAAACTAAAAAAACAGCGTTGGAACACATCCATGCGACAACATTTCTTCTCGCTTTGAGTCACCGACATGTGGAACAGCCTCCCTGATAGCATTGTTGAAGCTCCGACCTCCGAGTATGAACATCTTCAAAAACAGACTAGACAAAGCTATGCAGGAGCATATGTTCAGTCTTAAAATGCCTAGCAAATTATGGAGCAGGCAATAAGTCCAGCAGGGCAGCAGCTATCTCAATCAATCGTCAGTTATGGAAAGATCGGGTTCCAAAGGCCGGATCCCTTGTGAATCAAGTCATGAAAAGTTCAAGAATCGGCAACAGGCCATGGGCCTATTTCTTCAACGCCAACACTTCTATTCTATGAGAACAACTGGTACATCCTACAACGGTGCAGTGGCGTCCCATCTTCAAGCAAAACTTAAAAAGAGACGATCGCAGTAGATTTAACACGTTGGCGAATGGCGAAAGTTAGACCCTGCTGCAAATATGGTGGGTGATCCCACAATCATGACAATGCATCTGGCGATTCGGTGCGGTGACGTCATCCCTTCGAGCCGATACCTGCATTTTCTCTGCTATAGTTCCTAGCACCTAGCCTATCTCAAGGAGGTTAGATGACTGGAGGCGGCGCAGCCAGTTTTATTAACGCGGGAGGGCGAAGCCGAGCCATCTCAGTAAGCCACATGGCGGCAGCCAGTGCAAGGGTCAGTTGACTAGCGGAGAGATCGGAGAGTAATTCACTCTTTTCGCTATTATCTTCCTCGGACCTACTGAATTATTTATTNATGAAAAGTAACATTGCACCCCTTCGTACGACGAGCTGAACAGCCGTATGCACTGCAAACAGCTGGCATTTTTTAGCACGTCTTACCCCTTCCTTCCTGCAGTGTAATCTCCCGCGCTTTGTTTGTTGACCCACAAACTGGCTGGTCAGCCGGCTCAGCCAGTTTCAGCCTGGCTTCATCTCGTGCTGGCTGCGCCGCCTCCAGGTATCTAACCTCCTTGAGCCTATCTGTATATAGCTACCTCACCGTGACGCCGTGACCGTGTCTAACTCTAAATAAGTATTAAGCCAAATTAAGAATTTAATAAACTCTCATCATTTTTCCCTCCATTGTAATGATTGTATTATACTGACTATTAAGAATTCAGTCATAGGACCCAGTTGTGAATTATTTATTTATTACATCATTTATCATTATAAGGGCACTATTACTATTAGGCTAATATCAGGGATCAAGAACATTTCTGTTGGGGAGTGCATTCATGTTGCTTCTGAAAAACAGGCAAATTTTTAATAGTCACCAATCGCCTACTGAGATGGAGTGTGATGCATATGAGCGGGAGAGACTGGAAATGATGAGAGTGATACTGGATGAGAGGAATGAGGGTGATTGTGTGATGTATGAGCAAACAGGAGATGAATGGATTGCAATGATTGTGGGACTGTCAATGGGGGTAACTGCTGCTATGAATAATATGATTGAGAGTGGAAAGCGATTTTTGGAGAGTGCCTGGAGGGTGAGGCGCATAGACTGAGGCGTGAGGGAGACTAGGAGGTTGCTAGAGTGGAGGCTGGGAGGGTGTAAGAAAGAAGCAATAATAATAATAAAATTGAAATAACCAAACCATAATAATATCGCAAATAGTCACTCAGGGCCTAAGATATATAGGTAATCAAATAGTCACTCAGGGCCATAGCTAATATAATTATCAAATACACAGTGGCCAGTGCAATAATTGACTGTTGACAAATAGCAATAATAAACCAATGAATTTCCCCTTGAACTTCTCTTCCCCTTGATTACATCTCAGTGATGATCTCACCCTTAACACAAACTTTCACACCTCTTCTAGCCTCTTCTCTTTAATGTTGCTTCAACCTGGCTTGCATTTGACAAATTAAGAGTTAAGATGTGCTTAAAATTCTTGTTTTCTCAAATAAGTGCATGTGTTATGGTTGCACCAGTCCAGTGTGCAGAATCTGCCAATCTCATTGATCCAGGCACCATTCCCAAAGAAAAACTTCTCAAAGGCATGGGTTAAGGGGGGGGGGTCTACCCTAAAATTTTTGGATTTTTTACTTTTCCGGTTTTTAATCTCATCTTAAAGCTGACATTCTGCCCTATCCAACAGTACCATTACCATCTCTGTTCTGTACGCTGATTTATGAATTCACGACAGGTCGTGGAAGGGGGGAGGGTTGTGGAGTTCTTTAACAAATAGCATAGACGGTAATTAGCTCCCTAGTTTTTTAAATAGAGTGTCTGTCATCTGTTTAGTCTCTTGTTAAAGCTGACATTCTCAGCTATCCAACGGTACCATTACCATCATGGTACGGTGATTTATGCGCTCACTACAGATCATAAAATGGAAGAGGGTAGGGGGGTTCTTTAAGAAATAGCATAGGTGGTAATTAGCTCCCTAGCCCTTTGAAAAGAGTGTTTGCTGGCCCTGGAACTCAGTCACCCACCTGGCTTTGATAGAGGAGGTGTGCATGCAGTTGCTCCTACCATCCTGGAGTGTAATCAAGCTCCAGTAACATTTAATTTTGTATCCTTGCTATATTGAGTGCCTATTCCAATGCACACGGGACTTTACTGCGCTCTCCTCAACATTCACACTTATTGTCATGGCAAACCTATCTCCTCCTAGAGTTTTGAAGCTACAGCAATGAGACGTATACCATTCGATTTGTACAGACCATACCTATTGACTAGGATCAAGTAATGAAGCCCTTTTTTTAGATTTGTGCATAGTTTGGATTCAAAATGGGGGGGGGGGGGAAAGGGGGAAAATTTGAAGGAAATGAGAGAAAACAGAAAAATGCCTGTAGAAAAACTAAGGCAAAAATAAAAAATCGGGCTTCGTTACTCGATTGGTATGGTATTTACACATCAAATGATATGCGTCTCAATGTTGTAGATTGAAAACCCTAGGAGGAGATAGATTTCTTCAGTACCCCCTTTTTTGCCCGCTTTCTATGAAAATCACGTTTTCTATTAATTTTTCCGAAAAAATCGAATGAACAAAATCTGTTTTTTTTTGGTTTTACGTACCGTATACAGTATGTGTGAAGTTTCAGAAAGATCTGTTTGTAAATGTGGAAATTTTGCCTAAGGGTAGATCCCCCCTTGAGCAACTCTCAACTAGGCAATTCTACAGAAGCAATTTCAATAGTCCTAAGATGAGTGATTTTCATTCATTGTCCTACAGCAACAGTCAACACTGCCAAAGAGTGGAAATGATCTAGTGATGTGAGCTCTTCAGTGATTGACAGTGAAATCAGATATGAAGAAATGCCCAAATGCTGAGTCTACATTAACAAATCTGAGATAGAATCAGCTCCTTGAGTCTTCAAACTTCAATAACTAGTGTGACACAGCCTGACACAGGATTTGCCTTCCATTGGCATGCAAATCAGTGGCAATGTGTATGTAACTTGTCGCGGATTAATGGCTAGTAATGGTAAAGTTAACTTTTTGGTTAGATGTGCCCACTACTGCCATTCTCTTAGAAATTAGCACCCTTGCAGTGCCCTCTGATCGCAACCCCCCCCTGGGTCCCCTGTCCTCAAGTGTAGAGCGCTCTGGTTGTCCTGCTGTTGCTAAATGACCAACCACTTTTTAGAATTCCGCCATGCATGTCATCCTGCTATGCATTCTTGCCTGTAATGGTAACAGCATTGAGCATTCTCTAATTAATGAGTCTTTTTTCCCTTTTTGAGCTTAAATGTAGCCCTACTAATTTTAGAAAGCCCTTCCAAGGATTTGACTGTGTTCATAATTTAATTCCCACCTTTCTCATTTACCTCTTGAGTCTCGACCACATCAAATGGCTCTGCTGCTTCTTCAATCAAAGTCCCCATTGTGCTGTCTTGGAATTCTGCTATCAAAATATTGGAAACCTATGCTGTGCCCATTCCTAAGCCAGCCAAGAGTTTAGCCTCAGCTTAACAGTATATTAGGTTAAGCAAACAGATAAGTCAGTAATGACATGGTATATTCCTTTGAAATGTATTTTTAACTTCCTGGAGTAAAAAGATAACGAACACTTAATAATTTCTATGTTTTACCTTTTTATCAGTGTCTCATTGTGTTAGGATTAAAACATTATTCATATTTACTACACAGTATACTTCAGAAACAATTTGTATCATTATAATTATAAATTATTTGAAAGACTTCTAAATTGATGATAGCAATGTTTTTTTGCAATGCTAAACCAATGTTTAATGCACATTACAGTAAATAAAAAATATATAATATTTAGAAAAATTGAAATGAACTGATGAAAAGATAATTAGAAATGAATATATAGTTTTAAAACTCATTTGCAAGATGTTTCAATCCCTGATTTAAACAAAATATAAATAATGATATTTGCTATTTCCATCCCTTCATATTTTCTCAAATAATAATTTTTTCCCCCTTTGATTAACTATTTGTGGTTTACAATGTATTCAAAAATTTGAATACATTGTACAAGAAACTTCCTACACTATTGGACAAGATATGCTTACATTCCTATCTGCTCCCTCCCCAAAAGCAAGAGTAGTGGTTCCCAGTGATGCCTAGCACCTTACGGACCTTGCAATAAGTCCAGCAGCTATCTCAAGCAATTGTCAGCAATGGAAAGATCGGTTTCAACAGGCTGGATCCTTTGCAAATCAAGTCATAAAAAGTACAAGAATTGGCCATAGGCTATTTCTATTCTATAGAGTGTAGAGTGACTTTGTTCAATTTGTTTTTACCTATTTAAGATAGCTGCCTGTCAGTGTAGTTAATGTGTTTTCTTAGTGATGAGTGAATTGTGTGCCACTACGGTTAGTGAGCTTGACTCTCAAAATTGCCATAGTTCCATGATAGTGTACCCATTTCTTACAGGTGGTTTTGAATTACTTTCTGAATTAAACTGAAAGTTTCACTTTCCAGATCTCATCCCATTGTTGCTGATGCCCCTGAGATTACTAACTTCCATTTTACAGATTTCTATAGCTGCCATACTTATGATATAAATTTATTTAATTACCATATTACCTATAGTAATCTAAATCAATTTGAAATCATGACGAGGGGCTCAACTAGATATTCCCTTGCTTCAGTTGATGATCCTACTTCATATAGCTATTCAAAAGAAAAAAGGAAATGTGGCAGGAATGTCATTTACTCCATTTGTGTAATCATTTCTATTATCCTGATAGTTATTGCTGCATTACTTGTAGCAGCTTTAATTAGGGCCCTCATGTTGGAGGTAAGTGTGGCTCATTGAAATATTTTTATACCAATGTATTACGGTATATCTTTAATTTATCATTAAATTTTTTATAGCATCTGAATTCCCTTTTACTAAAACAAATACAGTGCTGGTCTTGGTGGACACAATTGCGCTTATTACTGTCTAAGTGGCATAAACTAGTTTCAAAGCTGTTCAAGTGTTTTGGAAATAGCTTTTTTTTTATTATTAATGTACCTATTGTAGCAAGATTATTTTCAGTCAAAACTAAAGTGTCATTTAAAGTAGATCATACTTGTGTGTATGTCTATTTTGTGTAGTGTCATGTCTATTTTACTTTTATTGTGTCAAATATAGTACATGTTCAAATATTCATAACAGTTTTCACATTAATTTATTCATATTTTTTCTCTTATCAAGGTTCCTTCTTATGTACATCCTTCAACAATGGAACAAATCATGCAGCTTCCCAACATGAGCAGCAGCACATTCCTTAATTTGCCCTCTATCCTTGGTATGGCATTAACATTTCCAACCATCACTAACTCCTCTGGATCTTATGATCCAGTTGTCTTCCGTGGCTTCAGAGAATTCCTTGTGCACAGTGAGTAAACTATGTAAAAATATAGTTAAAAGTATTAGATGTGGTTAGATCAAAGAAGACAATTAATATGCTTACATGGTGTAAGTATGAGTACAAAGTTTAATTGTTTAGTAGGCTTTTCAAATTATTTTTAAACCTTATTTGACAGTCTATTAATTTCATATATGTACATCATAGTGATAGTGCGCAAGGACATGCAGATGCCAGAATGATTCAGTCTTCTATAGATGGATGAAAAACTTGTCAATACTACTGACAAATAGACAAATAATATAAGCTTTCAACATGAATGAACAGAAACAAGTGAATTTCTCATCCACTCTTGAATGTTTCTTTCTCATTCAGGTTTTCCCAATGTTTTTTCATCCAGCAATGTTGAAGTGCATGACAGCTTTCCAAGCTTCCTGCTAACAGTGCAGGTTAATTTTTGAGTTTAAATGAAAAATTTCCCATCATAAAAGTAAACGTTATTTTAAGTTTTGCTGATGAGTTTGTATGTGGATGTAAAATATTCTAAAATCTTACCTCATTTCCACATGCAGTTTCCAAGCTGCTTCTAAAAATTTCTTGAAGGATACCGTATATATTATATGGGAAATACAATTTAAAATCAATGTATGAAATATCTTTTGGTGTAGTGTATATAATTTACTGTTTATTGATGCTAGTCATGGGTAAATTTACATTCTGATTAGTTCAAAGCTCAATACTCATAAGGGAACAATGATGCCATTTATTTATTCATCATTATTTTCTTTGAGGGCATTTGCACAAGTCATCAAATATTGAAATTTGAATGCATTTTTATTCTTTGCAAAATTATTCCTTAAAACATGTTGCTAAATTCAAAGAAACACTTAGTTTTATCTCAAACAATCCTGATTTATAACTACACACTGCAAATGGCAGGGCAGTGGGGAGAATGCAACAGCCAACAGCTTTCTCCTGCTGGGTCATATGGATGTGGTTCCTGTTGATGCTTCTGCTTGGGATGATGACCCTTTCTCAGGCAAATGGCTTGACAAGGAAACGGAAGGAGGAGGCTTTGTTTATGGCCGAGGTGCCATAGATGACAAGCTCAGTGTTGTTGTAAGTGCTTCTGGGTGAAATATAAAATTGGTTGTCAGTAATTGAAAATTTCAATTTGATGTTCAATTGTAAATTTTTTTCAAAGTACAATATGATTACATCAATTTGCTTTTTATTAAATAGTGTATAATCAAATTTTCATTCAATGAATATCATTTGCTGAATTTTTTTAGATTAAATTTTAGATTTTATTAAATATGTGTATACTATTATCAGCTTTCATGTTGAATTCAGAAATATTTCTTGGCAGGTCCAAAATATCAGTGATTTTTTCAAAGTTATAAATTATGCAGCGTTATTCAATTCACTTGTATACAGCAGAAACATATATTTTTTAAGGCCATTCTGTGTGCTCTGGATGAGCTAATTGCATCTGGCTGGTCACCAAACAGCACTTTCTACATAGCTTTTGGGCATGATGAAGAGGTATGTAAATATTTAAATAATATTATTTTTTTATACTTTGATTTCAATTGCTCATATGTCAAGATGGTGACAAATTTAATCATTTTTGTTTTATTTTAAATACACGAATTTAAACCAATAAGATTTGTAATAATTTTCATTTACCCTTTCCTATAAATTTCTGCTAAAATAAATAATGTGACACTAAGTTCATAACTTGTATGGTAAAATCTATTTGAAATAAAGTGTTGAAATAATTGGCAAATATGTACTACTACATCCGGTGTAGCAATATACCTACTCTGTATTGCACATATAGCTTTCTAGTGTATGCACTGAATATTTTTTTTTAAAAAGCTAGTAAATTTCAAAATGGGTACATTGTATAAATTGATTGTGGTTTCATTATTTATCACCTAGGTGTGCCCATAGCATGCATAGCATTGTAATTATTTGCTTGAAAAAAGTATGCTTAGTATAGTATCCTGACATTGAAAAAAATCAAATTTTTTGTGCCAAAAGATTTGTCATCAATTTTTAGTGCAGGTGCTTGACTTGTTTCAGTGATGAGGTTAAATATTTATTTTGACTCTTCATTGTCATAAGGTAGGTGGAGAATATGGTGCCCGGAGGCTGGCAAACTTTCTGGAATCAAAGGGCGTCAAAGATTTGTTGTTTATTCTTGATGAAGGGATGCCCATCCTTGAAGGAGCCATTGCTGGCTTAGAGGTTCCAGTAGCCATGTAAGTAGTTTTTAGTTTTATTTTTATATCTTCTAATGAAGTACACTGTTTATCAGTCAATCTTAATTTCTATCTAAATTTGAACATTTTCCCTCTGCCTGACTTAATCGTTTTGCAAAACAAGACTGATGGTTTTTTTTTTTTTTTTTGAAGGATAAAACTTAACTAAGCTTTTTGAAAAATTTCTGACATATGACTAATATCAAGTGAATGTTTCTTTGTTCTGGTCTTGTTAATTGATCCTGTGTGTTTTTGTCCATTTATGTAAACTGTAAAGCATAATAACGTTGTATTCTTCCAGCATCGGAGTAACAGAGAAAGGTTGGATGGATATTCGAGTGGAGGCCACAGGAGTTGCTGGACACTCCTCTATACCTCCCCTGTCACAGGCCACTCACGCCCTAGCCACTGCCATACACAACCTACACTCCTCCCCTCATCCTGTGTTTCTTAATGACGGGCCTGAGGAGCATCTGCTTCTTGCTGTTGCGCCAAAGGTTCTTAAATATTGCTAATAATACCCTAGTATTTGACTCAAGTTTTTACTGAATAATGGATCATGCATGCAGTTTGAATAGCGCAGCGTTTATGATCATAGCTCAGTTTACCATGTGAGGTGTCTCTGAAACGTTTTATTAGATCTTAGCAAGTTTTTGATTTGATTAATTTACTTTATTATGTAGAGCTCGTGGCCACAGCGTCTGGCCCTAAGCAACCCGTGGCTCTTCAGAAACATGATCAGCGCCGTGTTCTCTCGCAAGCGTGAGACTGACGCCATGCAGCGCACAACCACCGCCACCACCATCATCAGTGGGGGTGTTAAGGTGCCAATAGTTCCATTATTTCTGGCGCATTTTCTCATTTATGGAAGAAAGGCGCTATTGCACTCGTCATGTCCGTCCGTCCGTCCGTCCGTCTGTCTGTCTGTGACTTCACGTTTTCGTCGATGAGAAAATGCGCTCTCTGTCACTCACTATTGAGTACTGAGTTACATTTTTTTGACAGCATTTACTTCTGCAGAAAGTTTCAGATTGCCATAATTTGAGGCGTAAATCTACTATTCGTGTTTGTTAATTACAATGGTGATGTCAATTTTATTAATAACCATGCTAATTATCAATATAACACGAATACTAAACACAAAGCTTAGAAATTTGAATTTCCTTGATTACTGATCATTACATTGACCATGTTGTGAAGCCAATTCGTGTTACAGGACAACGTGGTACCTGGAACAGCCTGGGCTCTTGTCAACCACCGCGTCCATCCCTCCGAGTCTCTTGAGGAGGTCGTCAGGCACGACATCAGCGCCATCAATGATGACAACATCAATGTATTAATATAGCTTAAATTTCTGCACATTTATTTCAATTACTATTCCATAAATGTTATTCATTTTTTTTTTGGTAGTGAAGCTGCTCATTAAAATAAATGCATTTTTTTACAGATAATACTTGTTTACCACATTCTGATATAGTATCTCAATTATACTTATTTTTGTTGCTGGCATTGTTTCTTTGCTTGTCTTTATTAAATATCGTATTCTTGAAAGAAGTATGTTGTTCTGGTGCAAGGATGTATCAAGTTCATCCTAATCATATCGGCTACTTACAAATTGCCCCTCGAAATGTGCTTTTAATGCGACGCAGGCTACAATCTGAGATGATTAGAGCTATGTTGTTTGATCACTGCTACTGCTGCTCCTCTTTTACTAATAGATGTATAAGTTTTAGGTAGACTTTCCTTCATGAGTTAAATAAATTAAGATATGCGTCATTGTGACTGACTCCTCTTATTTTAGGTGACAGTGTTGGACTCCCGAGCGCCGCACCCAATCTCCCCGTACGGCGCCTCGTCGCCTGCCTTCTCTCTGCTCGCCAGCGTCGCCCTCAGAGTTTGTCCTGAGGCTGTGCCGGCTCCTGGTCAGTGCCTGTCATCAATGCCAACTTGAATAATGTGTAACTCATCCAGTTTTTGGATATAAATGAATTATTTTGAATATAAATCCGTTGGTTCACTAAATATCGATAGATTTATTTTTCTGTGTTTGCTTTCATGGCGAGCGGCAACTTGATGACTCGGATCAATATTTGTGTCAACATTTTTTGTGCTCAAATTTATCATTCAAATGACATTTTCTCTAAAGATTGCATCGAATCGTACATGATGTGCAGGTATAAAATAATGATGAGCATCTAATAAAGTTTTATTTGCAGGAGTTCTCGTGGCCAACACGGACACGCGTCACTACCTGCAGTTCTCGCGCTCCGTGTACCGCGCGATGCCGTACCTGCTGACGCCCCAGGATCTCGCCGGCATCCACGGCAACAACGAGCGCATCTCTGCGGCGAACGTCTGGCGAGCTGCTCAGTACTACCACACCCTCATCATGGCCGCCGACCTGGGGCTCGCTAACTCCCACTATAGTCAAGCTGGTCGCGGTGGACGAGAATTGTGATGTGTCCGAGACGGTGGAGGAAAACTGTGATGTGATGTTGCTGTAAATGTGGGAGAGGAGTATTGTAAAATGAGATAGTATCACTGTAGGGTGGATGAAGATTGCTAAGTGACTATGTCGCTGTGGAGGTTCTCAACTGTGAGAAACTCTTGTTCCTGATAATTATATCTTCCAGTTAAACTGACGATGCCATGTATGTCGCCACGATACCAGTGACAATAATTTATTTATTTACCTCTAATGTCAGCGAATAATTTATTCTGTCATTCATCAAGATTTGAAAATTCAAGGTTTGATTTTATTTATGCTTTTTGTCGGCATCTGTATTAACCTAACTGTAATAAGATTAATTCATCACTTCGAGTTTTCTCTAATTCCCAATTTTATTCTTTGTTATCTAACTCAGATCTATACAACCCTTATAAAAGCATAATACTGGTTGTGATTAGTACGTGCCTTACTAGTAATGGTTGTGAATACTTGTAAGTCAGCAATAACGTCGCTTGCCGAAATTCGATTAATTTATGCTAAATGCTTATTTATATTCTTTCTAAACTGTTTTCGCGAAGACTGAATGAATTCTGATAAGAAATTTGTGGGTAATGTACATTGTGTTTGAATACTAAAACGTTATTTGCGAGATGTTTTGCGGCAATTCTTTTACAAATGTCTCGGTACTTGGTTACCTCGTGAATATGTAAGCTTGGAAGTAGCTGCATCATTAAATATCGAAAAAATTGAATATTTGTGGCATATTTTGGATTTGTATTCTGAAATATTACTTTTAATATTACTTACAAAATTGTGCATCTCCCCATGCAACGCTCATGCACCTTACGGCAGATTTGGGAATTGTTCTGTTCTGTATTATTTATTGACTGTGATGTGGTATTTTGGAAGTTGTATCAATTTCGTGGGAGGTTTAAATAATACATTGTTTCAAGATACATAGAATATTCCTTTATTGCTGCTCGTCGACAATATTTTACACTTTATTTACAATACCGCAAATAGTTTCTCTCTTATTCCGAAATATATGTACACGCCATATATATCTTTTTCTCGTTACAAAGCTAAAGACGCTATGGGCTCGAAGCGCTACACAGGCTCCCAGGCCCGTATCTTCAATACCATTTGAGCAGCAGGTCAGCAGCACGGCTTATGAGCTTTACATAGCAAATATAGTCTTTGATAAACTGAACAAACCATTTCTAAAAATAGGAATGCATTTATCGGCGTTACAATTTCAAAGAAAATTAGGCAACTAATGCGCATTAGGAGAAACTAGTCGTCAGCAAAAAGAAACCGATTCGATCAATAACACTGGATTCACATATCGTGTCTAATTCTTGTGATGCTGAAATGAAGACTTGCGGTGCCGCTGGCCACCGAATATGGTACACATGACTAGTACCAAGATTTAAGTACCAACTGAACTCTAAATTGCCTCATATGCTGTAACTTCGACAGGCTAAAGTTGTAGAGAAAATGCAAAAAACAAAAACTCAATTGTACCACTTCTACTGCAAATATTTCATGTATAAATAATTCAAACCGAAATCCATGCTACGACTTACAACAATATTTGAGCACAAACATAGACGGTAAAATTCATCAACAACCAATAAATCGATCATATTTTGAGCATCGCAGTTGAACGCTGCACTAAAGAAATGCACTCGAAGAGCTCCAAACATTAAAGTCAATTTAGGGCTATCAGACAACTGGCAAAATTTGTGCTAGGGTATATAAATGACAACAAATCATTCCGCTAGACGTCACGCTAAACATCTCAAACATGTTTATCAACGGTACATTAAACACGATTTCAAGACTATATCAAGTTGAATCATTAAGAGTCCGTGACATGTTACTCGAAATATTCTCTATATAAAATATGGCAACCGTAAAACTGCTTATTTTTTGACGAATAAAAGAAAGGGCACTACAAATACATGGAACACGGCACGTCTTGAGAGCGGTAGCCAGGGAAGCTTGTGCAAGGCAGTGCACAGTACACCTAACTCCAGCAGGCTGAGCACGGAGCAGCCCAGGCAGTTGTGCAATGGCGCACAGAGCACTGGACACTGACGCTGCAGTTACAGTATTCGGCCACGCGGAGAACTTGCAGCGTTTCCAGAGCGCAGCATTCAGGTAGCCCTGCAACAACGTTCATTGTGCAACAAATGCAGAGCATCAGCAGCGCCGCAGCTAATGCCTGGCGCGGCTGTTTTAATCGACCCGCCCTGAGCTCTCACGCCCATCACCTACACTTCCGCCTCACCCACTCACCCCCGCCGCTCCATACCTCAACTTGAGCCTCTAGCTTCGTTCCATGCCAAGTTAATTTTTGGCTTCAATATAATTATTCGTAACTTGCATTCGCAAGTTATGGAAGCGACAGAGGCGGCTTGAATCAAGAATGAAACATTTATGAGAATTTTATAGAAATACAACAATACGACACAATAGAATGTTCCAAATAGGTTCCCTCCAAGAAATCGGCCAGCTCTCGCTTTAATTTAAATTACGTTAAACTCATTACCTTCGAGATCAGACGTAGACATCAAAACAGACAAACACACAAGACATTCTGGCAATAATTGTCACAACGAGAACCTGCACCGAAGTTCATAAAACAACAGAGACACGAACAACATTATATATTATGAATGTAAAGCTAAAATCACACCGACGCCTTGTACGTACTCCTCACAACCTCATCGTTCGCCTATCAAACGGAGCTCCGCGTACCAGATGACGTGTAACAGATATAACTTTCGTGGAGGGAACATGATGCAACAGTTAATTCTCGATAACATTTTTTTCCTACCTGCATGCAAGAATAATCATGTAGGTTCAAGTTTGTTATCATCAACCCTTCTACATTAACTCAAACGAGTTAAATATTTTAATCGCACACGTAATCAACAGAATATTTTGAAACCCGATTAACCTTTAGCGGGCAAGTTAACAAATATAATCACATAACATCTACTTCCAAAAGAGCCCAGCTTGTTCCCAGGTTTTTGTTTGAGGCTACGTGATCACGTCTCTGCCAATCTCCAATCATCCATCCATACGTAGCTTCACCCCATGCCATGCCCAGGAATTGACATATGAGCATTTAAATGGAAGTTTCGACGTTGACCATAAAATTGACGCTATAACCGCAAAATATAAAAAAATATCAATCTAATTAAAGTAGCTCGAGAAAATTAAATCAAATTGCAGCTCGATAGTTTCCCTTTGCATTTGAATCCATAAATTGAAAAAATCCAATTCTTTTAGTGTTGTGACCGCTTTTCATAGAATTTGCAGCTGCGATTTACTCCAATATCATACATAATTTGAAAAATCCACAGATGTAAAATTATCTTGTAATTATCCATACTTTCTCATAGTCGCTTCTTAAGAATTTCAAATTTCTGCACATTTCTATGCTTGCCCGCGAAAGGGTTAAAACCCTTTTTGACCTACAAAAGACCTTCTTGGGGATCAATTACTAAGCCGAAATAGACCTAAATTTACTTGTGGAACAGAATAGTTGTTCGTACTCACAGCCTTCATTGCGTTCAATTAACAAACAGACACTCGAAAGCAGTGACCAATACGGCATCATCCCAGCAATGACTGGACAAAAATGGCAGTTTTCTTGATCACATTTCACTACGTAACCATCTTTCTGTCTCCAGCACGTAAATTTAGATCACCACTGCATTAGTAGGTACAGAAAAATTTGGACATCGCTTGTAACGGTAAGGCAGATTATTATCATTTAGGTTAATTATTCATAACTCCAAACGTGAAAACATTTAAATCTTAGCTTATTGTATAAATTGGTCCAAAGTGCTGTAGAGCGGCCATGACGGCCGCATGAAAAGGGAGGGATTTCCTAAGATGATCAACACAACACCAACTACAACGATGTTACTGCAGGCAGCATCACTGAACGACTATCAAGATAATGCGCCTCTACACTCAGGAGACAATACATATGGGTTGGCGTCCACTCATCAACGCAGTAATAACGTCACCTACAGGCACGTAACATCTTCCGTTCACCGCTTTGGCGGCTCGAAATGTGCCGTCAACCAGCACGTTCTTCGAGCCATCAAAGGGCGTTGGGTACACATTGTATCAATTACTAACAATATTATGGCCTGAACCAAGACACGCATAATTCACACAGATAATCCGGATAGTTTCGTTAGCAAGATATTCCGCAGCTGCATCCACATCAGAAACGGCACCACGTGAGCAAGTATGGGCAGCTACAACTCTTCAAATCGTCAACGTTATGATGCAATAAAACAATGAGAAACGTCACCTTGGATAAATTAAATCTACTCACAAATGAGATTGTCACGTTTTGTTAAAAAATTGTCAATTGTTTTAAAATTAACTCATAATTTAATTTTCATTTTGTTTTCATTTCGAAATTTCAGTCCATGACTGGGTTTGCGTAGAGATCAATTCATGTTAAGTAAATGAAAGAAATTAAATAAGTTGGGACTTGCAAAATATCTGTTAAATAGAAAGGTTGAATATTAACTTGAAAAACCCAATGTGGCGCCAGTAACGCCACAACACAATTTCATCAACGATCACAACTGAGAACAGCAAGAGTTTCTTCACTAAAATTGTGTTAAGTACAATAAAGAGAGTCTCGTTAAACATTTGACGACGAATAAAATAACTGTTGCACACTGAATTGTGGAAATTTTTCATTTTACCAATAATTCATCTATGTCAGCCATGCATTGATGGCAAAATGCATGGGAAAAGACATAAGTAACAGAACAACCGTAGCAGCATTTGTCGTAGCAGTAGTAACAGCACCAGCAGCTATGGCGACCAACCTCGACGTAGGACATCACTATTGTTACACATAAATAAAATAGCAAATATTCGGCTCGTTCATGGAGCGCACTCAGGTGTCTTTCTGACGCAATAACGAGCATCGTCTCGAAAAATTGAGCATTGCAAAAACCGACGACTGAAGAAGATTTTTGAAGTAATGCACATTAAAAGTGTCATTAATTAGAATTTTATCATCTGATTTGAGCCCGACAATGAAGTAACAATGTATACAGCATGATTTTAAAACAATAACGTTCAATGGGAAAGCGGATGAACAATCGTGAACACGTTCATACACCGCCGAGTATAGCAAAAACGCGCCGTGAGCAGAGTTTACTCCACAGCCAATCTCCTACGTTCTCTAGAACGAGCAGTTGTAGAAAAAACATTCTACAGTATTGCCTATTCAAAAGAGATCATAATTCGGTTTGTACTTTAAATGATTACAGACAAGGAGGAATTTAACGTATTGTACAGAACAAATGATTGCCTAGTTCACAGCCTCGCCTTCACCATTGGTACGGCTTACACTACTATTGCTAGGGGGCTGATCTATGCTAGGATTCAACCAATACATCAATTAGGTTATCTAATTCATCAGAAGGTTCTATTCTCCTAGGCTGATCGGGAAAAGATTTTAAGACATCGTCCGCACTTAAAGATGGTAGATCAAGTTTATACTGAGATGCTGAAGAAACTTCGGTGAGACCGCTGGTGGTTGTCGAGCTTGCGCTGGTACTGCTCCTGGCAGGACTGCTGTTGCAACTGCTGCTACTGTTAGTACTGTATTCTATCTCCATGCTATTTTCGCTGCCCCACTCGCAAAAGTCAGAGCTGTTAAGGGAGTCCAGATCAGATTGCGAAGGTAAACTCAAAACAGAGCACCAATTGATAGCACCCTCAGCTCGGTCTTCTGTGCTGCTTTGGCTACTAATGCTACTACTGCAACTCGTCTCGTTGCTACTGGTAAAATTATTACTACTAAGGTTACCAGAATTATTATTATTATTATTATTGTTATTGCACGGTAATATACCACCAACGTTGCTTAAAACTGACAATGAAGATTGCTCCAATACCGCTGAAGAGCTCGGCCTCAAGTTATGCAGTGTGGTCGGATTATCAGATGCTGGTAAAGGTTCACATTCCAGCAACGGGGAATATCCCCGCAGGTCTTCGTAGGCTCCATCAGGATACAAAGGTCCCCGGTAGGGAATTGAAGAGCCATTATAAGGTGGCATTATAGGAGGGGGCAAGACGGGTGGAGGGGTGCATGGCCCCGGCATCGGGGAGCTGATGATAGGTGGATGCATTGAAGGAAGAGGCCCTTCTGATGATCCTCCCGACATGGCCATTGGAGGAGGCGTAGGTGGTGGAGGTGGACAGTGTGGTGGCAGGCCAGCGTGCATCATATGTTGCTGACTCAGCAGGATGGCATTCATGCTGGTACCTTCCGATTCGAACTCCTTTTCAATGAGTCTGAGCGTGTTACAAATGAGCACTGACTTGTGCAGACGCGGATCAGAACAACGACTAAATCGGTTTAGTTTGCACATGGACATGTTGAGAACAGCTAATCGTTGCTGCTGGTAGCATGGTGAGCGCATTGATGAAGGTTTTGATGGGTCACAAAAAGGAGAAGCACATCGAGGAGGCATCATCTTTAGTGGTCGGGATGGCGGATAGTTTGGAGGATAACCATAGGAACAGCCAACGTCTCCATCATAGTTATTTGAACAGCCTTCTCCAGAAGGAAAGCCTCCAAACTGTGAGTAACCTGGCCGATAAAATTGATTGTTAGGAGTTTGCTGAGGTGCTTGCTGCTGTTGACTGTAGTTGTTCGAATTAGAACAAGTCTGATTGTTATAAATGACCCCAGAGAAGTTGCTCGAAGGAGACGTGGTATAATTGCCACAATCTGCCGAGTATGTTTGGGTGAATGGAGAAGCACTACCGAGATCCATGTATGACTTGCCGTTTGCATCACACTGAATGGCTTGACTCGGAGAAGGTGGCGGAGTGGCACATACTCCTCCAATCTTACTCGTTTGAATCTCCATGTACTTGTTTGTCATCGTTGGTTGATTGCCGTCGTAGAAGTTACAGCTCCATGATCCATTCTGCATGGCGGCAGACGAGGTTCTCGGGGAGACCTCCGCAGAGTAGAGCTGGTACGCGTGCGGATCGTAGAGTGGAGAAGACACGGTGCCCGAGTAGGCACTGGTCACGATCGTGTCCGCATTGGCAGATGCGATGGTCGACATGTTGTTGCTCAAGTCTGCAGACGAAGGATGGTAGTCGCGATGCAACAATGAGGGCAGTGTCGGAGAATTCGTAACACTTACAGCCGATATACTTTGTACTAGATTATCAGAAGCCGAGTCAACGATGCCACAACAATTTAAAGAAGGGAGAGCGGCACTACTCATAACATCAACAGACAAAGCAATAGACGTTGACAATACTTCAGAAATACTAACAGATGTTGAATTGCTACTACTAACAATGCTATTTTGTGAAGAAGATTGTGCGATAGAAGATTCAACATTTGATGCACATTGATTGTTGGCAGGTGTATCATGAACTTCAGCAACTGGAGAGCTGCTACAGGAGGACTGATTGAACGAAGAGTGATGCGAGGAACGGTCAACACTGCCAATGGGACTGCTGGAGGGCACAAAATTGCTGGACAGAGAAGAGTAGGCGTAGAAGGCAGAGGAACAAGACGGCAAGATGGTTGCAGAATTGGATACGGTCGACGCAACGGCCGGATTTTCGATGCTAGATCGAGTGGTGGAGTCCGAAGTTTCCTGAGTGTCTGACGACACGCAAGGAGTCCGGGTGGAAGTTTGAAGGGTACAATAGATTTGAACTTCACTTAGGTCGCTAGAGCAGGAGTCGACAATATTATTGTTGTTTGTACTAGAGATGGCAACAACAGGCGTTAGTCTGACGTCCATATCGTCGTCAGAGGAATTATCTATCGAGTGGCTGTCAATAAAACCGGAGTCTTTATCCTCTTCGTCTAGAAAGTCTCTCTCGTCTTCGATCTCAGCATCCGTGTCGCTCTCGTCGGACACTCCACACGTGGCTTCGACAGGTAACAGGTCGTCCGTCACCATGAGGCTACTCTTGCTACTGCTGTTGTTACCGCTATTGTTGCTGCTGCTGCGATACTGTTTCTTGCCAAGACGCTCAACAATAGGCTGATGTGGTTGTTGGGGAACATCCTCTGCGCAAAGGGCGTGAGGCGGTGAAGTGCACACCAGTTTGCTGGGAGGCTCGCCTTCTGTGGCGCCTTGCTCAGCAGAAATGCCGTCCCAAGGGCGCTTCTCCCCACGGGGCCCCGTTGAGTTACTGCGCCGGCAAGCACTGCTGCACTTATCGTTCTTGTCGTTACCCTCGATGTTATTGTTGTTGATGTTTGTGGTAGGGGGACTGCTGTTAGGGGGGGTCGAGGTGATGTTCTGGGAGGTGACGGTGGTGCAGCTGCTGCCTCCTGATCGTGGAAGACCCATGCTTGTCTCGTTGGCCTGAAAGAAAAATAACCGATGTTAGGCATCTCGAATTATTTTCCGAAATTAAATATCGTTAAACGATGCCAAGATAACATCGTATCACTCATATTGATATGTTCCTTATTAAACTTTCATAACTATTAACTGCTCATCTTTAAGATGACGAACTATCTTATTAAACAAAATCAAGTAGAAAAGACGTCAGAAACAGAAAAAAAAACTGGAAAGACGGCAGTACGTTGGTAGTAATTCATTATTGGTGAACTCCTCATCACGAAGTCTACATTACGGATACAATATTCTCTATCTCAATGAACAAACGAACAAATTTGCGAAAATGAGCCGATTCCTACCTACTGTAACGCAGGGGCGTTCAATGGAGCTGCAATACTGAAGGTGGTATCGTAATATGTGGTACAATAATAAAGGTGGCATCAATATAGCTGTAGTAGGTTAGGCTGCTGGCAACGGCAGCAGCGCAAGCTTCGGTGCAGCTCCTCGCTTCGCCATGACGACGGCGAACAAGAATACCGAGCGCAAGGCATCGAGCGCAGCAGCAGCAGCAGCGACAGCAACAGCATTGAGCGACCTAATATCAAGGACTACGAGAGGCCACGATACGCTTGGGTGGTAGATACAGACCCCACCATGCTACATAAAAGTACGTGGTCAAAGTTTACCGAGAATACACCAACGTAACAATAACAGTTCTTCAGAGTTCATTTTTCATCGGCCGTTAAAAAAAGCCACAGTAAAGACAGACGACATTCCACGTCATTAGAATGAAGCTCGAAAATTACAACACGCCACGAAATAAGGGTTTCTTTAAAGATTAGTAATTTATTCAATGCCTTGCACAAGCGCTCAAGAATGCGTTGAACTAACATCAGAGTATACCCTAGTACAGCGAACACGATTCTAATCCAACGCGAGGATAGAATACCAATGAACGAGACAAACCAACGTAACTGAATTATTTAAAAGGTAAAGATTTTCGTAGTAGTTAGGCGACAATCTTGCATCAGCAGAAAGCCACCCAGCCAACTTACAGCCAGTTACACGACCCAGCCAGCCACTCGCAGCCATGTGTCCGCCTGCTCCGCCCAGCCAAGATTTACAGCCGTTACCTCCCTCCCACACCCCTCGTAACCCTCATTATTACCCCAACAACGACTGACTGACTCCCCAGGCCGCCTACCCCAACCCTCTCCTTCACCACCGCCACCACAACGCAGATGGCTGGCTTGAAGCCACCTACACCAACAACCTAGCTGAGCCCAAACGGACTGGTTGCTTCCACTTCTTTCCAACATCAACGCCACCACACAACATCTAACGTACGACCCAGATTTTCCTTCCCTCTTCGTTTCCATTCATATAGGTTAGATAGGCAACGAACCAAATTAGAGACAAACTTGTTTTCTATGTGCACAGGGCACCAGTAATGAGCAATCAAGGCATAACAAAAGATGGTCCTGACAACCTAGTCGAAGCCGCTTGTGAAATCTTCATGAACGCAAAAGCTCGTACCAGAGAGGGCAACTGCGGAATAGTCACAATATATATGCAACCACTACCGTCAAAAAACTACAAAATGAGCCTATATTCAAGCGCGCACTAGCTTGTTATGACATTTAGTCGCCAGCTAGTTGTGGCCACCAGTCTTCAGCCAGTTGCGGCCACCAGCCTTCAGCTAGTTGTGGCCACCAGCCTTCAGCTAATTGCGGCCACCAGCCTTCAGCTAGTTGCGGCCAACAGCCTTCAGCTAGTTGCGGCCAACAGCCTTCAGCTGGTTGCTGCCACCAGCCTTAAGCTAGTTGCGGCCACCAGTCTTCGGCTAGTTACGGCCACAAGTATCTAGCTACGGCCACAAATTCCCCACAACCACCAGTCCCCCTCTCCAGGCCCTGCGCAAGAGACAGCACGCGGCTTTCTCCAGCGCGGGAGGCCAAGCGGACCCTGCGCAACCAACACCGCTCTCTCCCTTTTTCGTGGCCTCTGTCTCTCTCGCCTCGTACTCTGCCTCTTATACGTGAGTTATGCATTTCTCTCTCGTTCTCTCCCTCAAGGACATCTTCTAGCTCTCATGGTCATGGTTGACGCTAATCCTTCTCATGGTCCAAGTCGACAATGCACTGATTATCGTGGTCTCTTTATTTCTCCTATATTCAGTTACGCAGCTTATCGTTCTGCCTCTCCGTTTCTACTTTATTACACGCACTAGAGTAGAATTCAAAATGCTCTTGAACAATTCTACACGCTTCATGCCATGTCCATTACAACGATATTTCGAGCATTACGTTGAGAATAAAAGCACTCAATGCAGAGCATATCAACCTTAATTACGTTGAACTATTTGCCATTAATTAGAATTGAGTACTGTTCATGAACGAGTGACGACTTAGAATTAAAATTCCAAGTACTTTGTGAATATCTAAGCTAATGACCCAGTTATGACATTATTGCTAATGAAAGAACGCCGGGGAAGCGCGCGGGGAAGCAGCAGAGCACGGGGATCACGGTGCATATGAGAGGAATGAGCTGAGGGGAAATAGCGCTGAGTCAGCGCGGGGATTGGAATTACGGCCGAGGCGACGGCGTCGCGCCACGCCGCACCGAACCAAAATAGTCGGCGTTGGAGCCAAGCCGGCGCTCAGCTGCCGCATGCTAGGCATTATAGCACCCTTATTAATCCTCATACTGTTAAAACTGCCGAATAATTCCCCATACTATCATAGCTGCCGTAAAATTCCCAATACCATCATACCTGCCGAATAATTCCCCATAATTTCATAGCTGCCGTAAAGTTCCCCATACTATAATAGCGGCCGTATAAAACCCCCATAATATTTGCCGCATAGCACTACAAGACAAGTAATGGTCACTGATGACACGAATCTAATACAATAAATATGATTCCTATTTTTGAATAATCTAAAACAAGATATTGATATTGAACTACACGTTTCAGGCCACAAATTTGACAAAAAACTGGCATTTATCTGGGAAAGACACACTGATGCGAAAATCCTTAAATTGGAACATTTAAAAACAATCAGATGTCACATACCAGTTTAGAAACTTAAGTGTCAGCAATCGTCGGGTATTAGCACGCATTTGACGAAACTTTACACTTCACTAATAGCATTAAACCAACCAGCGCGATAATCTGCGGATAACATTAAGGGGACCGGCTAACCTAAAATTTTCAATCTTGGCGTTTTCCACTTTTTGGGCTCATCTTAAAGCTCACTTTTCAACGCATTCAACGGTACCAGAATCATCCCTGTGCGTCGAAAAATGATTTCGTGACAGCTTCCCAAAGAAGGGCAGTTGCCACAGCTCGCGAGGCATTGGCAGCTTATGAGGAACTGTGCCACATGTTGGCGGCCCTGGCAAGTCATGGGACCTCTTGCCACAGGTCACGGAGTCGAGCATGCCTTAATCCCCTTAGCCACAGCCTTGCGGCTAAAAATCGTCTCAAACACCTAAATGTCATTTAACAAAATTCTATGCGAGTGCCCCAACAAATTAAAAAAATTCCTTTTCTCAAAATGATTAAACAAACCATAAATTAAGACGTATGACCAGCGCAACACCAGAATCTAAAAACGAGAAATGATTCAACATAGCAACGCGTTTGACTAACTCGGTGCAAGATGAAAATCCAGCCACACATTTGCGAAGGCAACGAACAATAATGAAGGCATAGATCTATAGTAGATGCCAATAGTGTATGACCGAATGCAACAAAATTAACGCTTTATCTGGCACGCGCCACAAAAAATGAAGGAGATGAGGCAAAGAGAGAATTAAAGAGCCCTAAGCCTCAAGATGACATAACAACAGGTGGGAAAGGCGGAGTTTGAGGAGCATTAGTGGCGTGTGCAGTAGCTGCAGCCATTCCGTCCACAATGCATGCATGGCGCATCCATTCCGCAACTGTCCCAATAGTCAAATTCCCTTACGCAAAAAAAAACGATTTATCATTAACAGTTCGTAATCAGAAGATCACGGACCCAAGAAGCAAGATATAGCTTCATGACTAAAAAAAATCCATTCATAATGAATTCCCTCCGAAATATATTAAGAGTGCGGTCTTATTTTCAGGTCTTTTTATTTCCTATGTGGCTGAAGGCGGCAGTTTTTTCTTCAACCTGGTAGCAATGTTTGGTACAGAGACAGCGCCCAGGACTCCACATCGGCAGCAACGTACATTCATCTCTACGGCACTCGGCAGTACGGTCGAACCGCTCTACGCGCCGAACTTTGTCCGACCTCTGTGGACCTAGAGTTGGCCTCAGCAAACGATTTTGATCCTTGAAACGCGTCAGCGTTAGGTGTTTAAGATATTCTTGCAGCACAAACTCCAAAAACGCAGCTAACTTCGAACGGTTTTCAAAATAAAAGTCTTTACGTTGCTCGGCTATAAGAGAGGGAATTGAGCATCTTTTACACGAGAGCTGGCTAGAAGGCAAAAGCTAGAGAATTGATTTTCAGCTCAACGTACGAGGCTGTAAGGACTACATTCGCCAGCCAGCCATCATTAGAGAGGGGAAGCTAACAGGGGAGAGGGCGACAGTCAACACAACGGTGACTGGCCAAGGGTGAAAGCAGAATTACGTGAGAATAATCCTTACAGCCATGGCTCGAAGGTTCAAAATTGTGAATCAGAGGGCACCAAAAGACCAGAGCCCAAACACAGAATTGAGATTCAAGTTCGTGTGCATGGCGAAATAAGGCTGAGACTTGCCTGCCGCAGTTCGCTTCAAAGCTCCTTTCGTCAGGGTGCCATAGAGGCGCCATAATCGAGAACGGCTCAGGGGACGGGCGAGGCTACACAGCTGTGGCCCAACCGACTCCCATTCTATGGTGACGCTGGCATTCAGCGTGACACAGAAGACGCCGACAAGCTTCTCTAAAAGCCGGAGCTATGCGAGGAGCCGCAGCGCTCTGTGTCCCGTGTCTTGCCTGCCTGCATGCTCCTCATCTAATGACAGCCACTTACAAACGTT